CTTTCTTAAGATCCACAATATTCCCAAACGCAAGAGAATTTTCACTCTGAGAAAGAAATATGTATTTAGATGAAATGTGGGAACCTTCAATTATAGCGCACGCCGCAACATCATTGAAATCAATTCCAGTAAGTTGAAAGCCCGTATCGCAAAGAATGATGATGAGAGGTACTTCTCCAAGGCAAAGAACTGCATTATGGCTTTCCAAATTAAATAATTGCACAGGCTGCATCCTAATAAATGTTTCCCGAGCAGCACTTCCCATTAACATTGATTCCAAAGAAATATCCGCAATATACCCATTCAGTAATCCAACAACAAGTCGTGGTGTATGAAGGTGTGACAAAATACACATGGAACACGAGGTTGCCGAACAAAAAATGCGACCCTTCAATAAAATCTCTCCATCCTGAACCTCATACAAACAAACAGCACCGGAGTTCCATTCTCCAATTACAAAACCCTGCGAAGATGAAATTACCAAACATGAAACTTCGTTTTCCAGCTCAAGTGACGCCCTTGTATGGTGGGTATTGAGATCCACAACGGATACCAATCTTGAGCTTGAGAATACAAGTAATCTCAAATTGGCATTCGCACTTGCATGCTGAATGCCAAATTCATTTTTACAGATAATATATGCTCCTTTACCACCCTTCACAAAGTTTACTCCAACTGAAGTCACCTGTACAAATGTGTTTCGCTCAGAAACATACACAAGTGATAATGTCACTTTCGATTTGTCAAAAGGAGACTCGGAAAGCTCCTTAATAGTAGTCATGTTTGGCGTAGTCTGGAACTGATATACTCTACTATACCCAGGAAAAGAAAGAATAACTATATCCCCTGCAGCAAACAACCGAGTAACATTTAAAAGATTATCAATGGCCGCATCGTGACGAAAGTTAACTGCAGATCTTTGAAGACTTACGCCACCACCCATACCCACGCCTGTGCTCGCGATTACCCCCATGCGAGGACCATCGACGGCTATTGTTAAGTCAAATACAGGTCCACAATTCTCCAACAAAACCCCACTTTCTCCCGTACGCCATTTCAGCCAAAGCGTATTCGTCATGCGGGATCCTATTACACAGTGTCCCCCACCAAGAATTGCAAGTGAATCCGGTATGGTGCGTAACGACGAAACTGCCAAATTTACCAGCAGCATCTTATTGGAATTCAAACCCTCAGATTCCTCCTGTAATGCCGTTTTGACGTACGTTCCATCCCAAAAGAATATAAGTAGCTCTCTATTGGGAAGTGAAGCAGAACAAACCGGTTCAACATAAGCACTAAAAGAGGGGAATGCAAGCGTCGTCACATTTTTACTCATAGTCGACTGATTCGATGCAATCCTCCAAGAAACAAATGAGATCAATTGGGGCCCGAGCACAAAAAGTCCCTCAGAGTTCACTTGTAAAAGGCATGCGTTGGTTTCAACATTTGCCAAAAACACGGCTTTCCTCCTAAACACATCTCCTCTAGAAAAAACATCCAAAGTATTCGGTAGCCACGGCCAAATATTTTTCTTTTGTCCTCTGTGTTGTTCCTCGTTCATACCAATATGAATGGAGTACTCAGATACATGCGTCTTTGAAGAGGAATCGGCGTAAAGGACATAGAGAGCGGCCGCATTTTTCTCACTATCGCAAGGACCAAAAATCATGCTCCGAACATCCAATTCCGATGCGTTGAGGTGTCCTTGGACGAAAAGAGTTTGTTTCTTCTGTTTTCTCAGTACTTGTTGGGCGTATTCAGGAGAAAACAGCTTTTCAAGAACAAGAGATGCGTTCCTGTACTTCCCGCCATAAACGGCAATTGCGGCCGCAACATCAAAAAGAAACACACTCCCGCGATGAATGGAAAATGTAACTAAAGGAAGAACATCATTACGAGATGTCTGGTAGCTCCCTGAGCAGCACAATGATGCCTCATTGGGCCTCTCCTGATAAAAACAAGTGTCAACGTCGCCGTGAAACAATGTTATCATTTCAATCGTGCCATCCACACTTCGTTCAAATGCCACAATAGAGACCTCCTGTTTGACAGAAAACAGAAATGCCACATGTCTACCAGAGCCCTTCGAATCAAACAATGGCAGGGCCTCCACATACTTCAGAGAAGCAAATAAAGTAAAGTCCCTGAGATGTTCAAGCGCCTCTGCCGTCTCACTGAAGAGAGAAACGACGTTCAGTCGATTCAAAAGAACTAACGATTCCCCATTGCCCAAAAAAAAACCCGAAACGGCACCCAGAACTGCCGTAGGATGTTTGCTTGTGGAAGCTACGAAAGGCATGAAATTGTTCTGTCAGTCCCAATTGGTACCACTCTTCCTCCCTTTTATTTTTATTATTTTATTCTTCTTTTTTCATCCATCATATATGTATATAGCATGAAGGTAGATAAAAAAAAAGAAACAACAAAAAATTGGCCACATTTCAAAATCCAATAAAAATATAAAATAAAACCGATTCGACGCGTGCAACCCTTTTCAAAAGCGCCAAATGGTCTTCATAAAGACAACCTTCACTCTCTCTCCTCCCCCTCTCTCTCTCTCTCTCTCTCTTTCCCCCCACCACCACAAATAATAATAATAATAATAATAATAATAATAATAATAAAACCAAACACCTCTCTATTTTATCTATGGAACCCACACATTCAGCAGTTGCTTAAACTCCAAGTGTGTTTACACGCATGCATATATGTTACGTTGAAGTCAGTCTGCAAGACCCAAGACGGAATAGGTTACGAAATCAACAAAAACAATCCACAATATCGTTGCAGCAGCGAACTTTTCGGAGCAAGATGGCTATCGTCCGTAACAACGCCGTTGGAAGCATCATCGACTTCAACTGAGTCGTGCTCCGAGCTGCAAAATAAACCCTTCCATCTTTAACTGTCTTGGCGTCACGTCTTATGTCCCAGAAGGAAAAAGCCAAAGAAGACTGTGCTGTTTCCATTGCCATAACCGCACGAAATCCCGCATAAACGAGAACGTCAAGACACCAGGGCAAACTATTTTCAGATGCTTCAAGAACGTTGTACTTTGGGCGAAAAGAGGCCTGAGGTGCCCCATTGCAACGCACAGAAACCTGAAAGGAGTAATCCGACATACGAGCGACAAGAAGTTGAACATCCGTGTCCCGATGTTCTCCTGTCAATTCGTATAAATTTTCCAAAACAGCATCTTTCACGTAGACAATATCAACTTGCTCGTCCCCAGATCCACACGCCAGAAATAAATCCTTCTCCCATGAACTACACCACTCTCTCAAGGCACACGTCATCGCCACCATTCGTTTATCTCTTGTGCCTCGTTCAAGAAAGGGGAGAAAAAACTTAGTTATGGCTAATTTTTTCGCAGCACTAGCTTCAAAGAGACTAGTAGCATCCTCGCCTTCATTGCGGTGAGCCAACCTTGTTGAGGCAGCGGGAAAAACAACCAATTCATCACGAAATCCTTTTGCAGCAAGTTCTTCACTTAGAAGTGGGCTTCGATTCCCAGATCCTGGTGTGACCGCCTGCATGCGAGCTCTTCCATAATAAAAAACTGTATCTGAATCAATATCATAAATTAGTTTCGTCTTATCGTTAAGAAACACAACTGGATATTGCTTTCCACATTGGTAAGACAGAAATCCGTAACCATACTTGTTACAGAATACACTGCTCTTAAGCACAATTGAAGGTAAAGGAGGTTTTGGTAAAACTGGCTTACCACATGAGCGTAAATGCCGTACCTCGGATGTTGTCTCGCTGATACAATCGTTTTCCTTAAGAAACTCATGGAGTGTCATTTGCAATTCATGTTCCGTTCCCTTTTTATTCTCTTCCTTTCGCAAAGCAGTTTTCTGGTAGTCAACAGGAAACCTATCACAGTCTATAAATGGAGAATTAATGGCAATGGGTGAAGCCCATAAAGGACTCCCACGCGCATTGGGGGATGTAGATCTAGGTGCCTGAGGGGGAACAAGCGATCTTGGCGCTGTGCGGGGCGGCTGGGGTATGCAGAGGAAACTGTGACGTAAGATTTCAGCCGGAGTGGGTCGGTGTTGTGGTTGCTTTTGAAGCATCCAACGAATTAATTCTTTACAAGATTCTGGCACGGCTATACCTCGTGGAAAAATATAGTACACACGCCGTATTCTGTTGTATGTCGCAGTGATATCCTTCGTTTCAAATGGAGGAGTGCCAAATGCCAATGCGTACAATATAACCCCTAAACTCCAAATATCAGCTTCTAGACCATACCCTAACCCGGTCTTATCGCACGCAAGCACCTCAGGTGCAATGTAGTTTGGAGTGCCACACGTTGTATTTTTTTTCTCAGACGCAGAAGCAAGCTCGCTGGCAAATCCAAAATCTCCAATCTTCATGTTTCCATAGGCATCAATCATGATGTTCCCTAGCTTTAAATCCCTATGAATAATCAAATTTCTGTGCATATATTCAACGGCTGACACAATCTGAATCATAATGTACTGTATTTCCTCGGTGGCAAAAACGCCTCGTTCCTTTGACAAATCCATCAAACTCTTTTTGCTACATTGCTCCAAGATGATATAATGATACGATTCATCTTGAAAAGCTTTTACAAACTGAACAATATTCGGATGTTTCACTCGTCTATGGATGTCAATTTCCATCAGTAACTTAGACTCTGATCCACGACGAGTTAAATTTCGTTTATCAATTATCTTCCCAGCGTATTGAACATTCGTCTTCAAATCTTTAAACTCGTAGACTTGGGCAAAGCCACCTGTTCCAAGTAGCGAACCACAGCGATATCTAGAAATGACTTCTCTCGTCAAAGAATCCCTCTCCTCTACAATGATGCCACAACCGTCGTGGTATGTGGCCTTTGTTCGAGGAGGAGCTATCACTGCAGAGGCCGCACGCTGTGGAGAAGAACATGATGTGATTGGGTCAAGCTCTCCATAAGGACGGGTGCCAACAGCGGAAGCGGGTCGCCAAGGCTCTCCTAAACACGGATAACGCGCTTCTGCGAGTGGGGAAGGTGAGCAGGGAATAGCATTATTTAGATTTGGTACCGGGCTAGACCCTTGTGTAACCAAATCAAGATCAACCGTGTTTACCCTCCCTGCTTTACTTGTGATAGGTGGTGGTGGCATGTAATGATGAGACGTCGGTGATCCCCGAGCTTCAACACGATGTTGTAACGATGGAGTAGCCAAGGGAGATTTCAATCCCTGGTGTGAATAAGTCCTGTTATAAAGCGGAGAGCCGCATGATGGTGAACAGGCATCTTGTCTAGTAGCCTCTAAACGCATTAGCGTTTTCCTTTCGTATGTCATTGAAATCACCCCTTCAGATATAACACACGGACCCTCTCGTTAAGTATATATATATATATATATATATATATATATATATATATACTTATAAAGCTTCCTTAGTGGCCGCAATAAATGATATTCTCTAAGAAATGGCCACAAAGAAACAAGACATTCTGCAAAAAAAAAAAAAAAAAAAGAGTACATCATGCATGGAAATCATCAAAAAAAAAATAATTTTTTTGCACTCTCCAAGTTTTTAGATCGTCATGCTTGATTTCCTGCTCCCCGCACAAACAATTTTTTTCCCCTAACACAAACCTGCTCTTGACGACTGCTCTCAGCTTCCCTAGGCCTCTCGTTCAGTGGTGAGATTTTATCGGGGGTCCAAAGATGAACCAGCCTGCAACGGCACCCAAGCAGCCAGTCACCAACACTTTGTCCATGAAGGAATCTCCTTCAGGGCCCGTAGCTCCATTTACTTTGGACGCCTGCGGGATTTCGGAAGCATTCTTGGGGTCTACCTTTCGTCCTGCGGCTGGCGCAGCTTTTCTCGCAGCGGGCGCATACACCGGCCGTGTACGGCGTGCAGCAAATAAAAGGCTTCGGTGGAGCATAGTTATTTAAATGAACAAGCCTATTAACGCAGCTTCTTGTGGTATTCCCTTTTATTCCTTCGTGAAATATGCGTTGTGCTTTGGAGGCAATAATTTTGAAAAGAAACACGAAGAGCAACAAGTAATAAAACAGAAAGTACAGCACATTTATCGGCTTTATTTGCTTTTCTGCTTCCAAAATAACGGAGATTGTCCCTCCACTGACACGAGGGAGCACTCCAGGAAAATCTTGCAAATACAGCGACAAAGACTCAAACTCTAACTTTCTCACACCCTCCTTTTTGTCTCTTTTTTTTTTTTTTTCTTTTCATGCTTTCTAAAACTACAATGCGAAGTAGACCAAGAACAAGGGAGCAACAGCAATAACAACAAAAAAGGCAAATTCTACTTCATTCTTCGTCCGTAGGGATCACCACACAGGTTGCTAATCACCTCAATAGTGGTCTCAATTCTACTGCAGCGGATAGAAGAATAATCAGCGTCACACTCCAGACACAAGGTGGTCAAGGTGTCTTCAAGAGAATCAACGTAGGAAAGAATCCCATGGGTAAAAAAAATCTGCACTCCCTCGACTACTGAAGGCAATTTGTATTTAGCCCCGGGGGGGTTAAATGCAACAAAGGGCAAACCCAATCTGGAGGAAAGAATTTTGGCGTATCCCCCGTTAAACTGATCACCGATAAGTAAAATACGATCTTTTTTCCCATCAGCAATCAAGCCATCAATATACTCCGAGACATCTTTGAGAGCATCAATGCTTGGAAACCATCTTGATAAAAAAGCGGCACCGTAAACAAATTTGGCTCGATAAGCCTCAGGCCAAATGCTGATGAGAGGCGATATTACCCCAGCTAATTGAACAGCCATGGAGGTCCCCCACTCATCCACGTTGCGCATGAGAGACAATCCCCTATTGTTGGAATTCAATGTCACAAAGTGGTAGTCACTTTGCAAATCTGTGTAGTCCGAAAACGGAATGGCCACACCACTCGTCGCATAATCCCAATTGGGCTGAAGGCGGACGGGATACCGACGGATAAGTTCAGGATACTGCGAAAACCAACTCACAAAGTCAGCGTCGCCGTATCCCGCCACAGTGTAGGAAAGTGCAGCCAAAAGAGATAGGTCATAAATTCCGAGCGGCGCCGAACCATTTTTGTTGTATCTTATATTACAAAGAAGCAACGTTGAATTTTCACCAACGATGGGGTTGCTCTTCATAGCAATATTGCCTATGAAGCGATACACCATGGTGTTCCCGAGAGCAATGACAAAGGCCAACGCAAACATAACAATTAGCCACCAATACAAAAGCACTTTTTGATCCGTTAGGATGGAAACATTATATGACGCATATTGACGTTCTGCACGGACAATATCAGGATGGCGATAACCAAAAAAGGTCTTTACATCAAAACACTTCAGACAGCCTAGGATGGCATCTCGGCAGCAGAGCAGATGCGTGTCAAAACTACGTCTCTGAGCATCGTGTTGTATCTCTGGATCCAACGGAAGCTGAAAAAGAGCGCATTGTTCTTTTCTGGTTAGTTTATGCGGCCTTTTTCGGGCAAGCATGCCATGTGAGGTAATAAACAAGACAATAATCACAAGCACTAACTCTTTGGAGGCCAACAGGCCACCACACACCACACCAACCAATACCAAAATCGAGACGAGAAATAAAGATACATACACATACCATTGAGCCTTCCGACGAAGCAGTGTCATCCACGAAACGACATAGACACATGTGAGTGTAATACTAAAGATGGCACCCCACGTAACCTGCGAGTTACCAATGTAACTTCGCAGTGCCTGAGCCATGTAAAGGCTGAGTAGCGGCACGTAGCCAAAGGTAAATACAATTGCATTCCAACGCAAACTTTCCCCATCTAGGCCAAACTCCTCCAAAACGGTCGAGGCATGATACCAGCGTTTTGTTACGGTTCGCAAACCATTATGTTTTGAAGCCTTTTCCCATAGGATAAATTCGTCCCGTTCCATACGTCTCTTAAACGCCATGCACTTGCATTTCAGTGCGCACCAATAAAACCAAACGTAACAAAGCAGAATGAGAAACATGCTAACAATGATTGAAATAAATGAATACAACTGAGCAAAAAATAAAATTGACTGTCCGGCTGAGGCAGATGCAATGACGCCCCATAGAAACGGAAGTAAAGTTGTTGCAATAACAATTACAAAGTAGATAACATAGGGTGGCCTTTTTCCAGAATAATGCGACATTCCCCAAAAGATAATGTCTTCGCGTCCCACCTGTTTTAGGCCCCGAAGCATATCCATCCAAGTACAGAAAAACGTTACCAAAGTAAAGCTCAAGAACAGAAACATGACAAAAAAGCCCAATAGAAATGAAGGGTCAAATTGTGTACCAGATGACGAGACATGCATCCTAAAAAGCACCTCAAACGTCCAGTTTAGGGAGAGAACAAAAAGCAAACTCCCAGCGCAGTAAAGTAGGAAGAAAAAATACAGTCGGAACTCTAATGACATAAAAATACCTAAAACTATGTCAGCGAACCAATTGTACGACTGTGGTTCCCAATCCTCAAATTCATAGGAACGAATGAGATTTTCCGCGGTAACAGGAATCTCACCTGAGTCTTGGACCACCTCGTTTGCTATCCCGTCTTGTGGGGAATAATAATAGTAGTTTCCATCAGAAGGCTCGTAATAATAATAACTTTGGTGGTGATTGGGATCATAGTTCTCTGTCGGGGTTTCCGTTTCGCCTTCTAGCGGCTGTGGGGGATCGCTGACAGCGTCTTTCTCACGCTGTCGTCCATCGGTTACGGCTGACAGCGTGGCCTGGCTCTGGTTCATCAATAGAGGAGATGAACTATGTGAGGAGAGAAAAACTTCAAAGAATAAAAATAAAAATAAAGGGCAGAGTTCAAAGCAAAAAATATATATAATAGAAAAATAATACAAGAAGAACAGCAACGCAAGGAAAGAATATATATATTTGCATGGATTCAACCGTCACAAAAATGAGGGCCACCCTCAGTCACCCTCACCCCAAGAAAATTAGTGTTTAAAAATCTTCACTTTACTTTTCCTCATCGGGGCCCACATTCTTTCAACAGGTAACTAGAATATGTGTCTAGATGAAGCCCTTGGCCCTTCTTCCAGTCAAAAAAGTAAAGGCAAAGAGCAAAGGTCACAGTTTGAGTTCAATGCGCCCAACGACTAAATTTGGGTAAAATCCGTCAAGCACTCATACACAGCATGAAAGCAATTCGTTCACAAGCCAATCATTGACGACCGGGTTCGCTGTAAACTCATAAACTGACAGTCTTTGGAGTTCCGCAACCTTCGGGGATCCCCTCCGTGTGAAGGGCAGCAGCGGGCGTTAGGTGAAACGGACAGATGAAAAAAAAGAAAAAAAAATCCTCACGTGCTGCCCACCAACGCAGTATATTTGGCAAAAAAAAAAAAAAAACAAGTAATGAATCGGAAAAAAGGATATTTAGACAAGACACCCGCCGGTTTACCTAGTCTCATCTATTCCCGCACGCCCTCAAGCGATTTCTCTTAATAGTAAAAAGAGAAGAAACGACACCACATCAATTGTCAGAGCACCAATTGTGCGGCCACCACACAAACAACAAAAGAGAAGCGCATTTCACCGCAAAGCAACATCTTGAGAATATACAAACGCTTTTAAGAGAAAACATTTTTGCCTCTTAAATATATATGTCATTTTTTTTCTTTTTCCTTTTATTTTATTTTATTTTTTTTTTTTTTTTTTTCTTCCTCTTACTTTAGCTGTCGTCGCTCCCAATTTAAAGTTCAGCACCAATCATCACGTTCACAACATTGATAAAATCCTTTTGTTTACCTCTAGCATATATATCCGCTGCATTTCGTTCTTTGCTGTCTTTTTTTTCTTTCTTTTTGCTGTTGTCGTTTGCTCCGTTTTACTGCTGCTCCTCGCTTCTCCGCCGCCTTTCTCCCGTTCTGCCTCGCGTTTATATTTACAACTATCCAACACACATATGTATATAAAACAATGCTGCACGTTATCACGCTCCTTTTCGCTCCTCCATCGTGCGTTTTAGCTGCTTCAGTGCAATGTTGTACCTGTTCATCAGTGTTTCGTTTCCATCCCCCTTGAGAGACTGCCCCTTTGTAAAAAGGGTCTTTGCGTTCTCATAATTGCCACGACGATACTCCAACTCGCCCGCCTCATAATAAGCGTATGGTAAGACCATTGAATCGTTTGGCACACGCTTTTCGTTTGCAAATATTTTACTCATGTACCCAAACGCCTCATCGATACGATCGCACCCTTTATGAATGACCCCCACAAAAAGTGTAAACATGTTTTCCGGCTCTGGACCACTCAGGTCTTTTCCTTTCGTAACTCGCGTCAACTCCTCTAAGAGACGTTCTGCCTGTTCCACTTTCATATGAGCAAGATCACGATTGATATACAGCATATAGACGCCGCACAGGGGCAATAACCGGGGGTTTGCTAAGACGCGGGATGCAAACTTTGGAGAATTGGCATCATTCTTCGACCTGGAGTTATACATGGAGCCTACCTTTTTTAACCACTGGATTGCCTGGGCATCATCTCCCAGCATAACAAAGCAAGCTGCAAGTGAAAGAACCACCTGACCTGTATATGCAAAACTTTCCTTGGTTTTAGCCAGATGATCCAGAAGTGCTGCGTAACGATCTCTCGCCTCTTCAAAACGAAGATCCATAAAAAGAGTATCGGCATGCAAATAACGGATCAAAATTGGCACTAATCCAGCCCGTTCAGCATTTGTTTCAGCCAACTGAATCGCCATCAAGGCCTCGGCTGTTTCACCCCGCTTTCTGTGATAAAAGTTGGAGTATCCATAAAAATACGTATTGTGCTCATATTTTTGATTCATTGCATCCAAGATACGCTTCGCCTTCGCAAGCGTTTCCTCTACACGGCCAAGACCTGTTGGAAGAAAAAGATATAGCGTGCACAAAACAAGCGCCGCAAACGGGGAACGAACCCCATTGCTCTCAAAAACCTCTGTAAGGTATTGTTCGCCAAGCTCCTTGTCAGATATAAAGCCAATCACATTGAGAAGCCTCATCAAATTAGCCGGCACGAGGGCAAGAAACGCATAAAATGCCCCTGTCCCATATTTCACACACATCTTCAATTCGTTAGGAATTTGGTTCGTCCTGTCCGCCTCAACGACTTGTATTAACTTATGATATAAGCCCCACGTCCTGCGCAAATTGACGCCACCCTTGAAATAGGAATTCATCATCAGCTGACACACAGAACGCATCAATAGTGCATCCGCATAAATCACATCACATTCCAATTTCCAGTTGTCGACAAAAGATTGACCGGCCTTTTCAGCCGCCTTTCGACGTCCATTAAAGCTTTTTTTGCTAATTTTACGCTCTGCCTTACTGGGCAAACACATGGACATCCCGGTTCCATCACCATCATTTTCGACGTCAAAGTCAAACATGGGCTCAGAGTACTTCGCAGCGGAAGCCAACGAATCCGCCACTTTAAACAATTCAAGAAGAATCTCCCTACTCTCATTCGTTGAGTTCATCAGTGTTTGAACAAGATACTTATTAGCGTACTCAAGAGCATAACGTGGGTGTATTTCCTTGTAAGGAAAAAGAATTTCCTCTGCCTCAGAACATTGGTTGTTCCAAATCATATGAACGGCGTCCTGAATGTGATGATGAAAGCTCGGACCATCGTTACTCCCCGACGAGACCTCTGTGGACATGCTTTCTGTTGTTGTTTTTTTGTTGGCTTGTTTGCTTGATTTCCCGCAAACCCCCTTTTTTCTACCTTTCCCTACTTGTTCTCGCCCCCCCCCCCTCCTCCAAACCCTGCTCCTTGCGGCAAAGAGGTGAGACACAGAAGAAAATAAAAATCCAAACGACACCAAATTCCCGCCCCTCCACGCATAGACACTCTCCCACCAAGCCGCTCTACTCCATCTCACTCTCCCTTACCACATATATCTGTTTATTTACATATAAATAAATACATATGAAAAAAATGACCAAACAGAGTTCAAAAAAAAAAAAAATCCTTCCAAAACTATGCCTTTTTCTCCTTTCTTCTATCTCCTACAATAAGCCCCACAAAAAAAAAAAAAAAATTTTTTCCTTTCTTTTTGGGTTCATTCCTTTCCGTTCAATACTTTATTTCCCCGACTTCCTTTCTGTTCTTCTTGAGCGTGCCTTTCATGGCCGTCACCGGGATCAAGAAGGATGAAACAAAAAACTAACCCAGCACCCAGACCTTTTAATTGCGACTAGAAAATACTCTTTTTTTTCACTCTCATCCTCTACCTACGTGTTGCTGGCCCCCCGTACGCGGCGTGGTAAGCGCCAACGACTTCAGCCTGTGTTTTTCAAAAAATAGATCAGAGTAGCGCAGACGCTGTTGCTCAATATACTCTATAGCCTTAACGCGCTGGTTTTCCTCCTCGTACGCGGCCCCTGAAGCAACCTGATCCAATTCTTGAATGGCCTCTTGACACTCCTTTGATAACGCCTCGGCCTTACATCCAAGAGCATCAATTACAGCCTCCTTTTCCTTTGCAACAAGGTTCAACAAACTGATACACCTAGTCAGTCTATTTTTCTCTGCAAGGAAAAGATTGTAAATGGCTGGATGACACCGTTCTTGCGAGGGATTGATTTTATCTGAATCATACATATCTACATCATCGCCAAGAGTCATCAAATCACCTTTAGCTGCCCAGCTTTGCGATAATGCCGCGTCCACACCGTGCAAAAGATTATTGTTTTGTAGTGCCTTTTCAATGCACTCCAGACGGTGTTCAAGCTGTTCAATGCGGTAATTCTGGGTCTTGATGACACGCTCTTGCCTCTGACGAGATTCAGTCACCGTGCCGGAAATCTCATCCCGCATTTCCGCAATGCCCTCCTGAATCAAAAGACGGGAGCTCGATTCCTTTGCAATCATGGCTTTATTTAATTTAGCATCGACGTCGTCATGTTCGGCAATCAGTGCCTGGAGTGCTTCCTTTTCACATTTCAAATCGCGATCGGTGACGCGTATACCGTTATTCAGCGCGTCAATTTCATCCAGAATTTCCCGACGCAACTGTACCGCGTTTGTCATCTCAAAAATTGTTTGTTCTTTCTTCTTGAGGAGAATTCGGCCTGTACGGATTTCCTTTAAAATGAGCGCCTTTCTGGACTCCAGTTCCTGAGGCGTCACATCCGTCTCGTTTTGTCGAAGGAAAGCTCTGCGTTCACTTGCCTGATCCCCGCCCTGGGCCCGAACGCCAGTGGCGTCCTCAAGATTTTTGGTTTGCTCGCTCACCCTGATATAGTGTTTTCCCTGGGCCTTGATGCGACGATTGAGTTCATTCACCTCGTGCATCAGTGCCTGGTTGCGCTCCGAAATGGCCTTGGAAGCCAACTCAAACTGCGTCAGCATGTTTCCGACGCGTTCAATGGGAACAGTGCGCAGATCCTTTCGGGGTCTGGCCCCGCAGTAGTCAAGGACAGGAAAGGCAGCAGAAAGATCACCAGATGTCAGATTCTGAGGCGTTATGCTCAACTCCTCCTCGAGTTCGGCCTTACGTCTTCGCAGCCCCTCCAACTCTTTTTGCCGGAGAGCAACGGCCAGCTCCAGCTCCTTCCTTCGCTCAATCTTGTTGGGTCTCATCTTGATTCTTCGAAAAATCACAAAACTGCACCGCCAGCCAATACAAACGGAATAAAAATGCAAAAAAAAAAAAGAGAAGAAAAAAACAAACAATCACAAAAAAAAAAATCTAAAAATTCACACCAATTAAAGAGGCGACTCATCAGCCAACACCTTCGCCACCTTCTCCGCCCCATGCACCACAAGTAAATCTGAAAAGAAGATGCCAACAATAATGCCTTCACACTCGCTTCGATACATTCACCAGTACGACTTTGTTGTTCCGCAAAACAACCGTTTCTTTTACCTTAACGTTAAAAGCGGAAAATTTTGCGCGAGACGCTATAGTTCCATCCCTCTCAAACGTCGCATACCCCTGAGAATCGTAGCCCTCCGCATTGAAGTATCGCCGCACCGCCTGATCACCACCATACTGCAACAATGCTCGAGATGGTATACCACTACCACTGCCGGAGCCGTCGGCCCGATCGTACTGCCTCAGAGAGGGATCAAGAGAGTGCTGTACTTGTCTCCACCGGTTATAATTTCGACCGTGGTGAACAAAACGAACATTGTCGCGAAGAAAAACCGCCACATTTTCTTTGCCGTACACAACACCCATCCAGGTGTTATATACTGCGTCGTCCGATAAATAGACTAGCGCGTTTTCAACGTTTCCCTCACTTAGAAGATCCATGTAGCGCATTGCGATAAGCTGCGATGTCGCCATTTCTGGTTCAGCATATACCCTACCTGCTCCGACAAAGAAGCACCCTGAGCCCCTAGAAGTGGAAAGGAAAAGATATATTTGAGCAAAACGCAGCAAAACAAAGTCTGAACAAAAACCAGATGCAAAAAAAAAAAAAAAAAAAAAGCAAAGCTCGTATATGAGTTACTTGCTCTTAGTAGTTCATTACCCAATTTCGTCTTCTTCGCTACTCCCATTTCTTTTTTCCTTTTTCCTTCAATTCTCGCTGTCCCTCGTTAAACGAAGACTCAACTGCTCCTCCAGTCAGACTAAACCATCATCGCCTTTTGGGACATCAAAATCCCAACAATCACGGCAAAAATCCCAAGGGCAGAAGCAAAAATCTCAATCACGAGAACCTTCACAAATAGGGCGCTGCTGTGTGCATCAGCAATAGCACAGCTACTCCCAACTACTCCAACTGCAACGCCACAAGACATGTTCCCTACTCCAAAAGCTAGACCCGCGGCAAAAAGAGTAAATCCTGCCGCAGCGGCCTTATATGTGTACTTTCCAGTTTCATCCATTGCACTGGTGTTTGCCTCCAGTTTGCCCATCATAATAATAGATAGGATAACACCGTAAATAGCCACAGCCTCACAAAAGATGATTGAAATAAGATTCTTGCTTCTTATTTCAGGAGCGCGAATCGCTGCTCCACTGATAGAAGCTGCTGTAGTTAATATTCCCCACGCGGCACCCAAAATAGAGAGAGCGATGCCTATTCCTATTCCCACCGACCCCCATGCGTAAGGCGATACAGCAGACAATACATCCCACAAGGCAGAAAAGGGCGGAAATACCGTACCACATAAAGCAGGAATGATGCCAAAAACAATGACCAAAAACACGAGGAAGTAACGAACAAAACCCCATATGACCTCCAGAGCATCGTCGGGTGGTAACCGCGAGGGTTGCGGCAACACCTCAGACTCGACAGGCATTAACTACAAATATTTTGTCACGTGCTAAAGAATATTTCTATCCCAAAAAAAAAAAAAGCCAATTCAGGAAGGCGGCACACACCCAAAGAAAAAAGAAGAAAGAGCAAAAATGTTCCTTCACAAAAGTTGTTCTGACAAGCAAATTCAGACAGCATTATAAGAAAAGCAGAGCCAAAACAGCAAGACAATCATGTGAGATAAACAGAAAAATAAATGAATATAAACATTTAAATATTTATGTTTATGTATTCATTTTTCTGTTGCTCTTTGAGTATAAAGAACAAAATAAAAAAAAAAATAGGGCGGCGTAAGAGGACGCAAATAACCTCGTGAAGAGCACTAACGCTTACGCAGGAAGACCATGCGGTTGTTGCGGCGCCACGCGGCGCGGACTGACGGACGCAGCTTTGACGCCTTGTGGCCCTTGTGGCGCAGTCCGCGGTGCTTGCGACCCGCCGACGTGAGGCCACGCTGTTCACGGTGCTTGTGCACTGCGTTCACAATCCAGTTGATGCGTGGGTCGCGACGAATAGTGCGGCACATTGGGTCTACTGCAACCACCTCATACCACACGAAGGTCGAGTCGGCATTCACCCAATACGAGTTCAGCACACGAAGGTTGCCGTACTTTTTACCAAGCCGCTGCTCTGCAATGGCGCGACTGTTCTTGTTGAGCTTAACACCCAACACACCACTCGTCTTGGGCTTACCGTACGTGATACCCTTGTGCACAGGACGCTTGCGACCACCGCGGCGAACACGCACGCGAAACACGGAGAACCCTTGCTTTGTCTTGTATCCAAGCATGCGGGCCTTCTCCGGACGCGTAGGACGACGCAGACGCACAACTGTGTGCTGGTGACGGAACTCCCACGCGCGCACACGCTGAATGAAGCGCATCACATCGGAAGACTTCTTCTTCCACAACTCGTTCAGGTACATAAACGCTCCCATGATTGGTCCTCTACGACTACAGGTAACAAAAAGGCAAGTACTCACAAAAAAAATTTTTTGCTAAAATCAAAGTAAACGCTCACCACAACCAAAATAATAATAATAATAACAATAATAGCAATAAAGAAAATAATTACCACTGATGAAAAACCGGCAACTGAATAAACATGTACCTCCCCATAATTACCATGCACACTCCAGTAAACCCTTCATCTGCTCCACAAACTCATGAATTTCATTCAGACGAGCCCGATGACGACTCTGTTCCTCGTCCAAAATCCGGGTTGAACGCTCCCTAAGGAGCTTCTCCTCATTGCTAATGTACATTTGTTCCATCTCTTCCAAACGCTTTCGTCGTAGTTCAAACCAGTCACCCAAAAACTTTTGGTAGTCTTCCTTGTTGTCAATGATTGCCATAATACTTTCGTCCTGTTTTATGAGATGGTAGGAGTCTGTTGCATGCTCCTGTTTCTGCCGCATTTCAAAAACAGAGTCAAACAACTGCCGGAGAGCAACCTGAAAGTCTGCCTCCATTTTCAAAAAATTTTCGAACGCGGTTTGAAGAATAACATCAATGCCATCGCCTTTCCACTTCCCGATTGTTCCGGCGTTGAGGGACTCCAACGCATCATATTGGTCTGCCTCCTTCTCTAAGAGTTGGTGCCGTACCTCGCGAAGACGAATTTGAAGTTGCGAAAGTACTTCAGATGGAATGGCGCCAGTGTCAACTTCGCGGCACCACATGGTACGGGGAATATGAGCTTTAACCTCCTTCTCAAACTGCTTAATAATCGCCTTACATGCATCTGCATTCTTTTGCCTGTAACGGGCTGACGCCGTATTAAACGCGCTCTCGTCTTCATCACGCCTCGTACGGATCGCCTTCATCGCCTCTGTGAGTTCTCTTGCCTTTTCCGTAAACTCCATCTGGTATTTTTCCAACAGCTCCTTCGAAAGCGAGGCTATAATGTCCACTCGAAGCAACTCCACCACCCCTCGTCCATCTAACTCCAGGTGGAAGAGTTCATCGTAAAAATTCGTCTCATCAGGGCAGTTAAAACGCTCATAATCCTTCCGTGCCTTCTCCAATTCCTGCTCCACCTTTGCAACCTCGGCCGCACGCTCATCCTCCTCATCAACAGGCATCAAATTTTCCCGCTGTTCCTCACGCGCACTGACAACCTCATTGGGGTCAATAACACAGCCATCCAGAAACTGAAGTGTCGGAACAAATGCAAGAAGACGGAGCTTGTAGTGCGGCTGCTTCTCCACACGGTTACCCTTCAGTGTCAAAATCCGAAGACTGCCCAGTCGATGAAGATACCGAGCCGCGTCTTCCAGCGCCTCTATGCGGTTGTTTCCGAGACTCAAAGAGGTCAGTTTTTTAAGTGTTTCCAAGCCTTGAATCACCGAGATGTTGTTAGAGAATAAAGAGAGGGTTTCCAGTTCAACGAGATCCTCCAAACCGCATATTTCTGTTATCTGATTGAAACTGAGATCGAGCCATTGCAATTTTTTCAGGTGACCCAAGTTGCATACCACACTGATGTTGTTGTTGTCCAACGCCAGCTTTGTGAGGTTGCACAACCCCACAAGATTTTCAATTTTCCCAATCCGTCGGTACGAGGCGAGAAGTGTTGTTACTTTATGCAGCTCCATCGTTTCCATTGTCGTCTTCACCCGCTGATGCCGTTGATTCTCCTCGCGGACGCCCACAAAACGAAGACGCTCCTCTTCAGTGGTGCACGCAGGCGGTAGATAGATGCAGTCCCGAATGAGGCTCTCGTTTATCACCGTCTCCTGTGTTTGCTTCATCACAGACACCACCGTGTAACCCTTCGACATCCTTGTACCACACCAGCTTGGAAAACAAAAGGACACCACCGGAAAAACAGCAACAGCAACAAAAAAATGCAAAAAAAAAAAAAAAAAAAGTCTGGCCGCATAAAAGAAAAAAAAAAAAATAGCTGTAAGATCATCAAAAATGCGCGCACAAACCGATGAAGGCCAAACCAGAAAGGCAAAGAGAAATGGGGGATATAAAAAAATTTAATTAATTAATTAATTAAAGTGGTGATTAGCATTAAAAAAAAAAAAAAAAAAGCTTTTTTTTTTGTTGTTGTTGTTAATTTACTTTTTTACTCTCCTCTTTTAGATGTATTCCTTCTCTCGTGTGGGTTGAAACTCTTTTGGTTTACTACTTCATGTATTAAAAAGTGATAGTAAATGAGTAAATAAGTGAATGATAGAATGTAGAAGAAAAAAAAAATCTCATAGTACTTTCTAATAATTGACCGTTATCGCCCGCTCCTCATCTCCAGTAAAGCAAAGAAATAAAAAAAAAAAAAACAGTGAAAACACACGCATGTATGTATACATAGTTCCAAACACAGATAATAGAGAGTAGCTCCCTTAAGGAAAAACAATAATAATTTGGAGCTACCGATACAACTGGCACCCCTTAATTCACCGAGGCTTCGAGGCCAAGGGTGTTCTTTTCATCCTCCTTGAAAGTGTTGCTATCCGCAACACCGCGCAATTCGGATGGGTTGCTGCAGGCCTTTTCAGCCGACACAACAGCTGTAATGGCGTTGCAAACGGCTCTGTACTCATCGGGTTGTACTTCTGTCCTAAAATCAAGCAAATCCGCCAGAAACCAAAGCTCCATAATGATAAGATCACGGTTAGTGACACCGCCCACCTGCGCATAGTAGCTCATCGAACAGCAAAGATCATCTCTTGTTTTGGCCGCAACCACCAACGACGTGAGAAGAACGCGGTAAATGGAACGAAAGTGTAGGGGAAAGCCCAAAATGAACAGACGTCGGATGTACGCGAGAGAAAATATAAAAACTTCGGCAGAGCACTTCATGTAAGTTACAAGACGCTGGGCGTATTTTTCCAACGATATGCCAGGCACAAACTCAGCACAAAAAAAAACAAAGGACGGAAAGGAGCCATTGGGAAGTGCAAACTCGGCCCCTGGTGCATTTTCCCCCAAGCCAGACTGTAATTCCATAATGTGCTGGATGTACATCGCTATAATCCTCCCCATCTGATCCTGAGCTGGCGATCTCAGCCCGGTTCGCGTCGACATACCGCTTCTCTCCCACACACTGACAACCAGACAAGAAAAAGAAAAAGAAAATTATAAAAAAAGAAAAAGGCATCTGTACGAAAAAAAAAAAAAAAAAAAAGAGAAGCGCACACAACTCCACACATGCACGCACCCCTAAAAAAAGGGTGGTTAAGATCCTTTTAATGACCCTTGTAATTTTTTTTTCCTTTTTCCTTCGCAATCTTGAATATTGTTGTTGTTGTTGCCTTATTTTTTTTCTTTGGATTTTCTTGTTATTTTTTTTTTCTTTTTCGGTTTTTGCAAGTTTACTCTCTCTTCTCTTCACAAACCCACTCACTGGCTTTGCCATTTGGCCACGCATGGGGGCGCATACAAATCAACGCCCCAGCCTCCTTTCCTACTGGTCATTCCTGTTCACCATACATATACATATATATATATATATATATGTATACGCACTCTTTGGGTTTTCCAAGGGACACGAAATAAAATAAAAAGATAATGAGACAAAGCTCGTGTGGAAAAGCCTCATCAGACGCTTTTTCCTCCAGGAATGAAAGGGGCAGCTCCAACGTTTGTCCCGGGTCGGGGTGAGGAACTCTGTTGATTTGCAATTTTTTGTGCTGCTATCTGATATAGATCAGGGTTCGGAGAAGTTTGGTACGCCCCAGCCTGAGGCGGTACTGGAGCAAGCGGAGGGACCTGAGGATGCATCTGATAAAATTGGTACGGCACACGGTATGGCTGTGGTACAGCCATGACCGCAGCCTGAGACATAAATGGAAAGGGTAAACCAACAAACTGCAAGGGATGAACCGCCACACCATGCCCAGGAGGTGGAGCCGTCGTCCATCCCGAAGCGCCCAAGCTAATACCCTGTGGGTAGGCTATCTGTTGTGGGGATGACGTCATAGCAGGAGGATGCGGAGGGGGTTGATACATCATTTCGCTCATTGGGTTAGACGCCGTAAAAGCCGGTGGAGTTGCCGTAGTTGTTGTTGCGGTGCCAGTCGTGGAGAGTTCATTTTTGTTTACGTTCTCCGAAAGAATTCCAAATTTCAGGCTAGAAAGAACATCAATTTTTTCCTCTTCTCTTGGTGCAAGGCAGTCTATATCGTAGGATGATCCAACCTCTCCCCAAACGGGATCGTGAAACAGCGCAACACTCTGTACACCATCTGGCTGAGGTTGAACAGGTGTAACCGTATTTTTCTCTCCCGGTAAATTAACGCCCTGAACAAATTCAACATCCATAGCGGCCGCAGGCTGCGTTTTGGGAAATGATGGTGCTTTGGTTTCAGGCTCTTTAGACGCACCACTTCCTCCACTGGCAGGAGGATTACTGGGAACCGCAAGAAGCTGGGTTGGTGGTGTGGTTTGTTTCTCAGAGCGACGCTGCGCAATGCCCAGCAGCGCATTAAGAGATTCAGTTTTGGTTGGCTCCGGCGTTTTTTCTCCATTACTGCTTGCGCTTTCAGCCGGGCAACTCTCCTCATCAGGGGTTTGTGGAGCCTCATCCGCACGAAAAGCAGAGCGGGGCAGGCGCAACTTTTCGGAAATATCGCGAAGATTCACGACAGGAATATCATTTTTCGTAATCCACACGTGCACGGCGGGGTTAAGCCACAAAGGGGGCTCCTTCCGACGTGTATTTTCCATTTGACTATCCCTTCTTTTCGCCCCTGGCAAAAAAAAAAATAAATAAAAATAAAAACAAAAAAATAAATCGCGCTACAATGAAGAGGAAAAAAAAAAAAGGCGAAATGCGAGATGCGAGATAAAGGCCTATTCCTCCTCCCTCGTCAAAGATCCATATAAACACAAAAAATGCACTGAGCCTCATTATTTCAAAAATTAGCTAAAGTGGGTTTTGTGGACATTCGCCACATTTTTTTTTTCCCCCTGTCAACGGCTCCTCACGTAGGGGCTCTCGCGTGCGCAGTTTCATTTACCCACCACACACGCACTCTCTGTATTCCCCCTCCTATCCTTTTTTCTTCTTCTCCGGAAATAAATAAAAACGCCTAGCCCTCCCACAATTAGAGGTATTTGTTAATATCCCCTACAATAGTCACAGTGCGCCCAGGGAACATCTTCAACAACTCAGCAAGACATTCGTCACGACAGTTCCCTGCAGCAATTAGCAATGCATCCAGCTGCGGTCCCAGTCGCTCAATTTCCTCCTGTATTTGGTGTACTCTAGCTTGACTATTACTCTTTCGCATAGATGCAGCCGCAATGCCTCGTTGAAGCCGCCGTACCTCTTCCATAAAGGAAAACCGCAGTGTGGGGGTTGTCTTCATGCGTACAAAAACCGCCTCCGTTGATGCTGTTAGTTTCTTAACAAGAACTTCAACTGCCGCCGCGGGTTCGGCAAGCGATTCATCGTCCATAGACGATCGTTCCGAGGCAAAACAAGCAAACGCCTGCAGCTCTGTCAATATGTTCTTTCGGTGGGCAGCATTTGAAACGTCAATGGTAAAAATTCCCTTCACCGTATCTGTAGGCTTTTCCTCGCAGCCATCATCCATTCTTTTATTGTTCTCGCTGCAGTTGCGGACAGCACCCTCTACAGCCACTTCAAGGGCTTCCTCATCCCATTTAATTTCCACCGTTTCGCCAACGTCGACCAAATCAACTGTGTCCTCGTCACCCCAATCAATGTTGCAGGGCCCTGTGCTTGCTTTCACCGCAACCTGATCCCGCTCACCCGCCCGCTGCTTCTGATGTTGCTCATGATGATGTATATCCACCTTGGACTTGTAAAATCGTTCCTGATAAACCCTGTCCAACCAAGGCAGGTGCAATGAGAAAACGTTATCATCGTACATTCCCATGGAATACATTTTTGCAGCGCGAACATATGCCTCACGGAAGGACTCAAGATGGGGGCTTCTGCCAAATTCCCTAAGCGCCTCGTTCAAAGAAGTCGTGCTGCTGGCTATCTTGGCCTCAATCACCGCTTCGAGATCTTCTTCCTCTGCACCTTGACTCTCCACCAGGCCATACTCCTGAAAAAAACGTTTTTGTCTTTCCTCGAGATTTTTTCTAGCCTTAGCGGCGTCCTCAATGGACCCATAGGCGTCATCCAAGAGACCTGAGAGCCTCTTATTCTGCTTGTGCTGCGCTGGTATCTCGTAACGCACCAACTGTTCCAGTTTGGGCGCCAGCTCCATAAGACGAAAGAATTCTTTCTTGTGCTTCTTCCCCAAGACGGCCTTTCGGTCACTCAGCCATTCCTCCATTCGCTGATAGTGCACCGCAATGACTTGCTGCTCCATCGCCGGGCCCTTCTAGAGGCCGCAAAGAGCAAAATAAGAAGAAGAAAAAAGAAAGAATGCGGGCTCACAAACTTTTTGAAATGAAAATTGTGTTTTTAATGCCATGTAATGGTGCCCAAGAAAAACAAACTTGAGAAAAAAAAAAACATAAATAATTTTTTTAAAATGGCTGTGGAATAGCAAGGCGATACCGCCACCACCTCCTTCTACTAACACGCTATTACACAAACTATCAAAGTGGAACAATTTCACGTTCAACATTTAAAGAGTGCCGCAAGCTTGAAGCACTTCTTAATGGTGATGCTTCAAAGCAGCAATGACGCTCTCAAGAACAGAAATACGGATCTCAATAACTGCCTTGGCCTTCTCGTCCTTTGCGGAACCTAAAGAAGCTTGTTGCGCAGCAAGTGCCTTCTCGGCAGCGGAAAGATCAAGGTCCTCCATAGCGACACACTCCACGGCATTCACGTCACATGAACCTTCATTATTGATGTGTGCAAAGCCGCCACTCACAAAGTATTTCTTCGTGGTACCGTCCGTAAACTCTACCGTCAGGGGAGCAGGTACAAGCTGAACAATTTTGTAGGCGTGGCCAGGATAAATGCCGTATTCACCGTTTACACCAGTCACAGTGACACACTTTACAGGGTTTTCCCGCATGAGAAATTCATCCTGCCGTGTAAGTGTAAATCTGAGAGTCTCCAAGTTTTCGTGGGTAGCGTGGATGTCCTTGTCCACCACCTTGTTCTCAAGAAACTCAAAGCCCTCTGGCAGATCATGGTTTGGCACTTGCAACAGCGGCAATGTGCGAGACACGAGGCGTCGAGCAAAAGCGCGGAACATACTTCACTACTAATCCCCATCCATCAACAGCAAGAGCAGAAAAAAAAAAATAGTAAAAAAAAAAAAGAGTATAGGGCAAATGGAAAACAAAGTGCGGTGCACCACTTAAAAAAAAAAAAAAAAAGAACATCGAAAAAATACATCAAAAATATCTCCATTCAGGAAACATTATAACGGATCGGAAAAAAGAAAACAAAAACCCAAAGAAAACATGGCGGGTGTTTCACAGGTTGCCTCTACAGACGACGACCACGGCGAGAACCCTTGCGGCGGGTAGAGTCGGTCGGAATAGGGGTCACGTCCTCGATGCGGCCAATCTTCATGCCAGCACGCGCCAAAGCACGAAGGGCAGCCTGAGCGCCGGGGCCGGGGCTCCTCGTGCCCACACCGCCAGTAGCACGCATCTTGACGTGCAGCGCGTTGATGCCACACTCCTTGCAGCGCGCCACAACGTCCTGTGCAGCCATCATGGCAGCGTAGGGCGAGCTTTCATCACGATCCGCCTTCACCTTCATGCCACCAGTAATCTTGCAGAAGGTTTCGCGACCAGACATATCCGTCACATGAACAAATGTGTCATTGAAGGACGCATAGATGTGCACAACGCCGTAAACCAGCTCGTCCTTCGCGGCGCTGGAGCCGTAAAACTTCACTTCCTGCTTCTTCGACATACCTGCAAAACGCTGAAACGCGTAAAAATTACGAAAAACAAACACAAATCAAAAAAAAAAAAACACTTCAGTAAAAAAAAACACCAAATACAACAAAAGGGGGGAATAAATGTACAAAAACGCAACAACTTTTACTATTGTTGTTATTATTATTATTTCGCCTTCGACTGCTTGCAAAAGACAAAACACACACCCACAGATCAGCTTTGAAAAAGTCATAAGCCAGTATAAACACAAATATATTGGCGCTTATCACCTTCCTTTACTCAAGCACACAAAACAAAATCACAAAACAATAATTTGCACTGCAAAAACCTCAAAAAACATTCTGTTACTGTTTTTGCATTCTTCTTATTCTTTTTTCTCTTTCTTTTCTTATCCCCATATGCGATCATTCTGGAAAAGAAACCCTCCTTCCTTTTCTTCTCGTTTCCTTCTTACTCTTCTCTCCCCCGCTAAGTCACCTCATTCAGCTCTGTAGCCACAGCAGCAGAGGGTAATGTGATGATTTCCTCAATCGCTCCCAACGTCACCGATGCTGTTGTTGAGCTCCTCTACGCGGGAAGTTGCATCACCATCTCTGTCCGCATGTCCCTCACCTCTAGCATCGGCCGCCTCCTCTGAAAGAAGGTGAATAACCTCAAGTGCAGATTTATGTGCGGCCGGATCCTCTAATTCTTTTCCTGCGAGTAAGTCATGGATATCTAGCAAGCTGAGTCCACGTTTCTCCAAGAACTCCCTGGCAAGAAGGGGATGTTCATCCCAAAATTGGGCAGAATCCATTTCTTTATTTCCACAACGTGTTTTTTCCCTCCCAAGTGAATTATTTTCACTCTCATCATCGGCATCATTGGAGTCGCCCGATGTTTCCGAGTCCTCCTCATTGCTTGTGCTTGCCTCAACCATTTCACGATCGGCATCAGAAGAGACAAAGCAAAACGGGGAGTAGTCATCTTCCTTAATTTCAAAAAAGTGTTCAAAGTTTGCAAGCATCTCGGTAGCAGTCGCTCTTTTTTGAGGATCAAACTCGAGCATTGGGAGAAGGAAGTCTGCAATTTCTTCCGCCTTCTTCCGGGTAAACTTGTGCTTGCGGTAAAGAACGTCATCCAGGGACCAAAAATTGAGATCTTTAATGTTACGCAGCGCACCGCGCGAATTGTAAAATTGGGACCGGTACTTGCCTTCTCCTAAACGCATGCTTTCGGGTAAATCACCCAGCAGTTCCGTCATTAAGGCCAAATGGTCCTCATCCCGTGAATAATTTTCCCCCTTGCGTGGATCAAAAAGAAATTCACCTGTGATCAGCTCAAAAATAAGGCAGGCAGCGGACCACAAATCTATTGGGGTGGAATACGGCTCCCCAAGAATCACCTCTGGACAACGGTACTGACGAGTTTGAACTTCATCCGTGAACTGCCTGTATGTCCAACAGCTATTACCAAAATCTGCCAGAACGACGTGATGCAGGCGCTCAATCTCCCAGTCAGAGTCTGTCTCACTTTCTGAGATCGCTTCTGCCTGCTCCTGTTCGCGGTTTTGCTCTATGGAATTTTTATGAGTCTTCGCTGTCGCACACTGATTGCCCTTCTCAGAGATATTTTCATTCTTTTTACCATTCTGTTCAATAGCCTTTAGCTTTTTGTAGTAACGCCGACGCTGTGATTTTGTCATCGTCTTTGGATCACGCTCAACAAGACGAAGACGTTGATGTAATGGCGGGGGGTGATAACGCTTCATTAACGATATTATCGCATGCTTTGGGCTGGAAAGCAGTACATTCTCAGGCTTTAAGTCAGTGTGAATAATATCCAAGGAGTGCAAATGTTCCAGCCCCACAAGAACTTGTCGAGATATACACTTCACTATGGGCAATGGAACACCACGATATTCATACCTATCAATAAGAGAAAGCAGATCTTCTCCGTAAACATCAAATACCATGCAAACATGAACTCCATTCGGACCGGTATGTTCAAAGTAGTCATTCATTCGAGCACAACAACAAGTTTTATCAGGATCAGACGACATAATTTCTCCTAATAGCTTAATCTCGTCATAAGCAGCTTCGGTATAATGTTTGGCCGACTTCTGTACCTTCAGAGCCTGATACCGCTTCGTTACGTAGTCCCAAACGAGCCAAACGGTAGAAAAATATCCCCAACCAAGCTTTCTGACTACACGATAGCGATCATGATACACCTCGCCGACCACCACAGGATGGTAGCCTCCTTTACGGTATTCTACTGAACGTTCATTGGCTGTGTCACTGTAATCCTCATCGCTGCCGCCGTGGTCTTCTTCTCCCTCCTCGTATCCCTCCTCTTCCTCTTCAAAAGAAGGATCGGGTATATTTTGTAATGGCTTCTGTTGGTAAACTTTATTTGCTTTCTCGTGTGCCTGTGCAACTGTCATACCAGGCTTAAGTGTCAGTCTCCCAATTTCCTGTAGTTGCAATTTATCGTTTTTCTTTCTCTTTATTTTGGAAAAATGAGGCTGCCCCAGCGGCTCCTCATGGGATTCCACCTCTTCTGTCGCGGTATTAATGCTCGCATCCACTTCATTGGTACCACAGGGATCTATGTGTTTCGTCTTTTTTTTGGTAGGGGCAGACTTACCGTTTTTTTTGGCGCACCATCCCCTCGTTTTCTTGTTAAACTTCGGCATCCCCCTCAGTTTCCCCACCACCACCCGAGAGAAGTTCTGTGGCAATCCCTTTTATTTTACCTGCATAGGCAACAAAGATAAAAATGAAATAAAAAATCATCATCATCATCATTGTCATTGTCAATGCATAAACAAAAATAAACGCACACTTCTACGTATATATATATATATATATACGTTGTTTTATGGAGAAGAATGCATGATGCAATCAATGTGTTTGCTCTTGTAATGTTCGGGCTCGGGACTGTAAGTAACGTATTGGTGTTTGGAATTAGAATCAACTCTTCAGCAATCCCTCTTTATAGAGGAAGTTGCATCGGAAAGAAAAAAGAAAAACCAAAAAAAGAAAAAGGAAAAAACAATCCATCCGTTGATATACCCAAACATTTGAGAAACCGGGGTATTAATTCCTTAGGCATCTGCAGGCTTCTGGCACTGTTGCAGTGCCTTAAGCAGCTCCACTACTCTATTCCCTTCCCTCTCCTCTTTATCCCTGGTACCATCGCACTCGGGAACAACAAATGCCATTTTATTCAAGAGCATCGCAACACGACTACGCTGCCTTTCGTTAATTCTGCAGGACTCAAGAAGGGTGTTTATTTCTTCGCTAGTTTCGAGCACCACTCGTGCAAGTTCATTCACCCTCGATCTCTCAGCATCTAGTTGTGCCTTTGTCTCTTCATGAAGTGTTTGCTCCTTCTTTAACAATGACTCAAGGGTGCGATTGGCCTCAACATGAACAGCCACAAGATCCCGTTCCCGGATCACTTCGGCATACAGCATCTCCAACAATTGCTCAATCCGTGGTGAGCCCAAAGGTCCGCCCATTGCTGTGGAATACTGCGGTGGGGTCTTTCCCTGGGAAGAAACATGCAGATGTGAGTTGTGACCTCCGTAATGATCGACACGCACCGGGGCACGCAGTTCGTCAACACCGTGAGCAAACGTGCATCCCTTGAAGTTACAAGTTCCTGCTTCCCAGTTCCGGCACATTGTTGTCTTGTACCGTGTTGGATTCGTTCCCATCTTCCTAGTCGAAATGCCGATGTTGCCGTTATTCAGCGTGTCCTCAGAGGCCTGAAGGGAAAACGATGGCGCAATCGGGCGCAAAGCCGACTGGGGTATCATTTTCGGTGACACGTGTGCCTGAGAGGCCGAACTTCTCTGTGACATTGGAGAATTGCCAGCGCGAACGGAGAACGACATCCCGCACCAAACTAGCAAAAAGGAAAAAGAAAAAAAAGCAGAAGAAAAGTTGTACTCATGTATATGAGTACAAATCGAAGAAAAAAAAAAGGAAGGCAAAAGAACTACGAACGCGAACAAGGAGAATACGTACATACATACACTTATATATATATATATCGATTGTTATTATGGACAGTAACGGCGAACGACAGGAGAAAAAAAAAAAAGAGATAAGAGATAAGGAGGAATAGACAGTCAAGCAACGGCGCAAGATAGAATAATAATAATACGGACACGTAAAGGCCGCAATTTCCCACACGCGTACACAGACAAGCACAACTCATACCCTCCAAAACAATGTCTTCTTCGTTTTATGCGTCGTCGCTCACAATATCACATTTTAGCAGGCCTTGATTTTGAAATGAAGCGACACAAGGGCCAATACCAACGACTTGATGTCACGTACAAAGTAATAGAACGTCTCGAGTCCTTTAGAGTTGTCTGTTTGCTCTACTTCGCTTATGGAGGTAATTTTGTTCGTCACCAACGAAATGTGGGTGTTTCCCAGGTGTATCTCTAGCTCCTGCCGCCCGTTCCGGTCTGGTTGCGGCCACCTCTCATCATCGCTTTCAAGAACCCCGGAGGTGATGATGACGCGCTTGATCTCCTCCAACACTGCGGGAGACACCCGAGCCTGCTTCTTGATAATGTTCTCATTCCGGTAGCGACTGTTGTTGCCATACTTCAGCGTTCCATCGTCGCGGATGTCGAACTCCAAAAACTCGTTACCGTAGCGCCCCGTATGTCCGGCAAAGTAGCGAAGATGGTAAAGGTGCGACTCCATGGTCTCTTCAGGCATAGTCATCGCCCCCTCCTCGCATGGCACCTCAGTCGTCATTTGCTCCCTCTGTACAAAAAACCGGAAACACGCCAAATATTCATTGAAAGAATGGGAAAAAAAGCGCAAAAAAATTTTTTTTTCAGAATAAAGAAACCACAACAAGAGAAAAGAGTCACCACAACTTTGTGTCTGTGTGCAAAATTGAATATCCCTGCATGAATGTGCAGCTCTGAGTGGGGATGTTACACAGCAGCAATGAGAAACACATCCTTACAGAGAGTTTCCAATCATTGTGCTTAATATTTCTTTGCTTTCAAAAGTACGTTTTTCCCCTTTTTCCCGTCGCCTCGCTCAGAAAATATGCTTTTCTCCTCTCCCTTTTTCTCCCATCCTTTGGGCTTTCCTGTTTTCTTCCAAGACCCACTGCACATAGTAAGCACCAATTCAAACCACATGCCTTCACGAGGCCTGATCAAGTAGTTCCTCAAAAATAAGGTAAAAACAAGAAAAAAGACTGTAGTTTGGTTGGTTTTGCCCCTAATACCCTCACAACACCAATACAGTTTGCCCAACGCTCATACAAAAAAAAAAAAAAAAAGACAAATATAAACGATCGCCTTCAATACCGACATACCCACCTATACCCAATCAAACTGGCGGCGAAAAAAGGCTATTTAAGTGACTGCCAGGTTGTGTTGCAGATAATGCTGCATATTTCTGCTGCCTTATTTTGCGAATTTGATGATGCCCCGCCACAGCGAATTTAGCTCAAATACCATAAAAAATATGTGGCTGAAGAACAAAAAAAAAAGCGTACATAGTTATATATATATATATATATATATATATATCAGGTAAAAATAAAAAATAAAACCGCCAGGTCAAGCAACCTATTTTCCCGCCTTCAGACCCTCACGGTGCCTCCAAGTGCATAGACAGTCATGCGGGTAAAGAGTGGGGAGGTAAATAACCTTATCAGAATTTGGAGTGCGTGTTCGCCTCCATTCAGCTAGTCGGGCAACTAGTGCCAGATAAACCGTCAGGTGGTTAATGGCATAATTGTAGCCAACACATCGATGCGGGCCAACACCAAAGGGAATAAATTGCTTAGCAAATTTTCGGTCTTCTTGGCGTTCAGACCCCATACGATCCGGATCGTATACGTCGGGATTTGGAAACCCCTCGCGGCAAGCTCCCACAAGTGACGGTATGATAAGACTGCCTTTGGGCACCGTGTAATGGCCGTCAATGACAAAATCGGAATGGGCCTTCATGGGCACCATCGGCGCCGGTGGAAAAAGACGAAGTTGCTCCAGGACACATTGTCGGGTAAAAGTCATTTCCTGTACCAAATCAAATGTCAAGGGCTCGTCCCCCGCACACAATTTCGTTTGCTCCTGACGGACTCGTTCCAAAACATCAGGCCGATCAGCCATTGTGGCGGTGATCATGACGAGACTGGCGGTGGATGCATCCTGTGACGCAAACAAAAAATCCAGTAAGGTCTCTGCCATTGCATCATCCGAAGCAAATGGAGGTGGATCCACACCCTCATCCTCACAAGCTTTTAAGGTCTCCAGTATTGTCGCACTCCAGAAATCAAGCACACAATGAGCCTCTGCATCTGGAAGAGACATACGAGCCTTGCTTCGAATTACAGCAGCTTTTAGTTCATCCACAACCTTTTTTCGAGCCTGAACCGCCTTGTACAGGGCAGTTCCGGGAAAATATAAGGGAAGAGAAAGAAATCCCACCGTGATAATGTTGTAGTTACGAGTAAACTCTTCAGGGTCAAGAAGGTGCTCACCGACAAAGACCGTTTGGGAAGTTTTACAGTTCAATTCACGTATGTGACCACGCATTTCCTCTGGTTTGCCCTCAAATGGGTACTTCTTAACCCACTCTGCCAAATGTTCGCGAATAAGACGTTCCTGGATAGGAAGATACAAAGAAAGCGCCTTCGTCGCAAAAAGATTCAAGAAGCTCGCACGAAGGGCCTTGTGCCGTGGACCGCATTGAAACGCTATATTGTTATCGCCAAGTATAATCCTCCCGTTGGGGTGCAGCTGAAGTGTTAGCGTATTTTCACTGTTGGTAGCGAATATTTTGTGGCACAAATCAGCACGAGTGACGAAGACAGTAAACTGGTTCAGAATCGACAGCCAACTGTATCCACTCGGGCAGTAGCGGCGTTGTTTCTCCCAAAAGGTGTAAGGGTCCTTCATCATCATTACCAGCCCACCGAGAAGTGGTGTCACAAACTTTGGGCCTGGAATGGAAAACTTATGCTTCCTGGCAAAGTAAAACATTGTCAAAAGGTAAGCCAAGCCATGCGCTATGAGCATGATAGCGGCGACCTCGGCCAAATATGGGATCTGCACCCCCAAAACGTTGCTAATCACTGTCATTGCAGCAATGATATATCGCAGTTCTTTAAAATAAGTAAAAAATAAATCAGCACAACTAAAAGCCAAAATAAAAATAAAATAAAAAAAAAGTGAAGAAAAAATTAATGGTGTGCAAGTCAAAAACCAACTTGGAAAATGCCAACAACAACAACAAAGAAGCTAGAAAAAAAGAAAAAAGGAAAGGGGGAAAAGAGGAAAAGAAAAACAGCAAAAGGAAGAGACAAAAAATAATATCCATCCATTTCAAACAAGAAACCTCTTTTCAACCTTACATTTTTGGTCGCTTTGCTGCTGTTGTTGAAGCGACTCATAACGCTTTATCACGTGACGCATCCTTCTCCAGCCGTGCGCTGCCCATTGGCCCCTCAAGCCGGTCTTCGCCTCATGGCGAAAAAATGCCAAGACAGCATTGGTCTCCCGTTTGCACCGCAGTTGCGTAAGACTTAGTACCAAATGCGAAAAGCATGTGAGGGCCAAAGGTGTCATCCTCTCATCGGACGCTACCATACGCCCCCTAAATTCAAGCCAATTTGTACCGTCCCTAACAAGCACAAAGGCACTCTGACCGTCACCACTGGGTGAGAGCCTGTCCTGCAAGTGTAAACCAAAAAGCTCAACAAAGCAACGAAGTCCACGAATCACATTCTGCAAGGCGGCCTCGTCATTAGCACATTTTTGTACCTCACTCCACTCATACTTTTCAACAGATGTTGGAGGTCGTGAGGAAAAAAGAACGGCTGGAAATACATAAAGAAACAACTCCGGTACCTTAAATTTGCCATCCTCGCTTGTGTCCTCCCTATTGCAACCCTCTTCTTGGGAAACATCACCGTTCAAATGCTTAAACGCCACGACAAGCAAAGGCCACCATCGGTTGCATTCACCTTCAAAAAGGTTTGACATGAAGAGGGTGCTATCAACATAACCATGGCCAAATTGCAGCAGCACAGTTGGAGGAAAAGGCAGCACATTTGTAAGAACCTTGTGGAATTCACGCTGCTGAGACATCTTAGCTGCCCTAATGTTACCCTTCTCCACCATTTTCTCTCTCGTTTGAATTTGCTGCAGTCGTCGCCTCACCTCTCGTCGTCTGATGCGGGCGATTCTCGATCCCGGACCCAAAAGATGCTCCTCCAGGCGCAAATTAAGGATCTCCCGCGCCGCTTTCCGGTTAAGCCAGTAGGAAGGAAACTTGCTAAACTTTACAACGATTCCACTTGGCTCGTGCTTCACTATAGCAGTTTGCATTCGTCGGTTTGTCGCCTGACCACCGGGACCACGGCCAAGTGTACTTTGCTCGCATAGATCCTCTTCCCTAAATAAGTAACTTCTCTCAAAGATACGGCTTCTATAAGTGGGAAGCCCAGCGGCACGTCGCGCAGAACGCCGGCCAAGAACTCGTAATACATCAAGTTTATCACGAGGGTGTAAACCGTCAAATATCGCAGCCTTCTCCGTTTTGGGAAGTGACTTGAGCAAGGAAATGATGCCGCGGATATTCTTTGATCGTCCTGTTGTGTTAGCTGCCGAGTATCGTCTGCGACTTGGGCGTTTTTCAAAAGTTTGTTGGTCGTCGTTCGCAGAACGTCTCAGTGACTCCTTGAGTGAGTCGCCAAACTTTGTGGCACTGCACATCCTCAGATGCGGTCCCGACAGCAATCGATTTCCCCCATTGCCACCTGCCATGCTGAACCTCGTCAACATCCCCTACGACAGAAAGCGGAAACAGAACCCAATAGAGCACACACCAGGACGGCTACCGGAAAGCGATTTTTGTTGTTGTTTAAAAAGGAAAAAAAAAAATCACAACTCAAACACCCAATTCTTCAATTTACTGGAGTCCATACGGCATGTTTTGCCGGGGACCCTCCTCCGGATGCCGAGGCCTCTCCAGCTCAAGATCTGGAAGTGCAAAGTCCTGCATCTCGTACTGACGGTCAAACGGTCCTGTTCGCGTCAAGACCTTCCGTTTACTCCATTTATCCACAAAAATACCACTTTGCGGAAACGGCCCCTTCCAAGGCGGAAGAGAATCCTTCAACGCTACGTCATTGTATTGCTCCCCAAACAGTTCATTTGTCCCGCCACGGTAATTGTAAACGTGCTGGTAAAACTGTTTCTTCCATTCCCAACCGGCCTGTTCAGAGTAAAGGCCGTTGTGGGAAACAAGAATAACATCGTCTGACTTACGTGGTTTATGAAACCCATACATGTCAGCAAACTCGTCTGGGGTAAGTTGAAGAGCATACTCAACTTCATCCCTTGGTAGCCACCAACTGTGAGGAACCCAACGATGCATCTTTAGCGGCGAAGTCCTACAATCGACAATGTGCGTATAAGGTTCTGGGTGCTGCACCAAATGAAGCATATCTTTAAGAAAGACCTGATGACAAAGAAGGTGGTGAAAGTGTGCGTATTGTTGCCGCTCATAAAGAAACTTATGGCGATCAAAATACCACGGCTGGTACTCCTTCGGATGCCAGTTCATCCACTCACGAGGGTTGATCTGGCCGTCAAGCATCATGTGATGACGAGTACGACGGTCAGCTTGCCGCCTAATACAAGACACGAGCATTGGTACCCACTATTGCTCAAAACTCCTAACATTCAACAATAATAAAAAAAAAAAATACATTAAAGCCAAAAAAAAAAGACACGGGACCATTCAGAGCCCCACCCGCCGCAGGGAAAAGAAGCTGAAAATCCAACATGAGCCAAGGCCTCCGTGTCAACCCAAACGTCTTAACACAGATCGTATGTTTATATCAAACTTAATGAAGAAATAGTTTTTTTTGTTTTTTGTTTTTTTTTTCCTTAATTAATTAATTCTGTTAAATTATTTAGATGGGAAATGCCTGTTACCACGCAACATTCACCATAAGAAAAAAAGGAAAAAAAAAAAAATGGAAGCGCAGGCCACCAACAAATCGTCAAGGAAAAAAAATGGGAGACTTCACACATTACACGACGCTTCTACCCTTCTCGCTTAGCACGACTCATCGAGCTTCTTGGGGATCTCCCAGGTAAATCCACCCCTGCCACTCTTGTCTTCGCGTCCAAAGTGGCCAAAGCGTGAGGTCATGTGATATATGGGCCGACGAAGATCTAGTTCCTTTATAATATCGTACGGGCGAAGCCTGAAATTCTTCGTCACGATCTCCAGGATGCGTCCATCATCATACTTGCCGGTGCCATAGGTTTCAATGTGAATGTTCAGCGGTTCTGCAACACCAATAGCGTACGCCAGTTGAACGAGACAACGACGTGCAAGACCCCCGGCGACAAGCGACTTGGCGATCCAGCGGGCCGCGTAGGCCGCCGAACGGTCCACCTTTGAAGGGTCCTTGCCAGAGAAGGCGCCACCCCCATGGGCGCCCCAACCGCCGTAGGTATCAACAATGATTTTGCGGCCAGTAAGGCCAGCATCACCGTGTGGGCCGCCAATTACAAATCGGCCAGAAGGATTCAAGTGGTACTTTGTATCGGCATCAAGCATGTGGGCAGGGATCACGGCCTTGATGACCTTTTCCATGAGGTCCTTGCGGAGTGTCTCGTTTTTCACATCAGCATCGTGTTGGGCCGAGATAAGAACAACAGCCACACGCTTAGGAGTCAGCAGCTGTCTTCCTTCACGTGAGTCGTACTCATACTGTACAGTGACCTGCGTCTTCGCGTCCGGACGAGCCCACGGTAGTGTCCCATTACGGCGTAGTTCGCTATACTTTACAGCAAGTCCGCGTGACAACTCGTATGTGAGTGGCATAAATGTCTCCGTCTCGTCAGTTGCGTAGCCAAACATCATGCCCTGATCACCAGCACCAAGTCCCTCGCCGTCAAAGTCCCCAAGGCTCTGGAGGATCTCTGGAGACTGGTGCTCAATGGCAATCAGAAGGTTGCACGAACGATAGTCCAACCCCTTCTCGCCATCATCAAAACCAATCTCCTTCACCGCATCGCGGACCACCTTCTGATAGTCGAGCACCGCATTTGTGGTTATTTCACCAAAAATCATGATCATGCCTGTCTTGGAGCACGTTTCACAAGCCACCCTTGAAAGAGGATCCGATGCAAGGCATGCATCCAGCACAGCGTCCGACACTTGGTCACAAAGCTTGTCAGGATGGCCCTCACTCACGTGTTCAGAGGAAAAAAGAATTTGGCGAACAGACATATTGCCGGTAAAATTTATATATATAAGAAAGAAGAAATCTTGCTGCTGCTACTACCGTATTAAAAAAAAAAAAAAAAAAAACATGCAATACAAAATAATTTCGCAGAAAGTTCCAGTTAATTGTGTCCCTATCTATAATTAATAATAATTATTATTATTAGCAATAGTAGTAGCATTACTATATAAATAAAAAATAATTGTCATTCTTAAAACAAATTGCTGCAGAACGGTAATAATCCAACTATAGAGCAAAGCTAACTGAAAATACTCTCGCTTCCCGCAAAAGAAGAAGTTGTACTTTCTTTGGGTGTTCCCACAACTCCAATCGGACGCCCTCGACTGTGGCCACCGACCTTCCATTAATAGAGAGAATGACATCCCCAGTATGTACCTGGGGAAAGGCAGGGGCCAGTGACTGAATGACGCGTACCTGATAGCAGCGTTCCCTCATTTTGTGCCTGCCACGATGCAGCAAACGAACATCGCTAAGGACAAGCCCATATTTTTCCTCTGGGGCCCCACTTCGCCCCCGCGGGGCAATGTCAGCAAAGGCGGAAGTGAACAAATCCTCGTAACCCCTACATCGCTCAGATTGAAGTGCAAAAATCAGCCCCTTCTGTATTCGGGCAACTTTCAAAGCAAAGTTGGCCAACAGCTGAATACGAATCGGGACGCACTCTTGAAAAAGTATATGGCATGGGTCTTTCCGCCTCACTCCTGCAATTGCCCTCTCCTCAGATTGGGCCATCAAGCATCCGCAGGGTGAACCCACAACGCCTCCCCTCACGGCCTCTGTACCCCTGTCATTGCGCATCGCATCAGCAAACTCTGCCACCATGGACTTTTTGCGTTCAAGGAAAAACAAATAAAAACGCAGGAGTGAAAAACATCCCCACAAGAAGTGGAATAAAGTAATGTAGTGATTTCCCTTCATCTCCCCCATGAGGACTCCCATGAACCGAGAAAAAAAGAGCAAATGGGCCCGAACAGTGCTGCTTTCGGCCGCAACGATATGCCTTCTGCAGTCCGCTTCTGAGCGAATGAGATCATCCATCAAACCCCAAGCACATGAACTACGCCAGACAAAAGAAATGGATTGGAGAAGTAAGTCGGTCAACAACAACAAAAAAAAAAAAAGTCAGTTATGATCAAGAGATAAATGAACAAACGATCGCCACTAGAAACGTCGCGGCGAAAAGACTACGTTGTTCGGCATCACACAACAAACATCTAAAAAAAAAAAAAATGACAATAAGTTTTCATTTTACTCGCATCTTCAATTTCAAGCAAAAAGAAAAAAGAAAAAAAAAAGGAATAAACACCAGTCCCCATTATTCAAGAGCAATGACGTCAGCAACATTCCTAAAAATTTCTCGCTTCCAAATAGGGCGAAGAGGCACTCCTGCTGGTGTCTCGAGAACAAAATCCACTTTTTCCAGCTGGGATTGATGTGTTTCCAACCATTCCTTCAATCTGTAGTTAACCACGATTGTATCCGGTGTTGTAGGCGCCCAGCAAAGTGGACAATTCCACACATTGGTACGAGCACACTGCATGAGGAGAGAGCGCAATTCCACGCATTGCATGTGTTCACATAAATAACCTCGTACAGGGATGCTTAACGGAAGTGTCGTAATAGGACAGTTGATCTTCACCTGCACACCAACGACATCATCGCGGCGCTTGCGACGAGGAGGCATCTTATAGTTCAACACAACCCTGTCAACCAGTGCATCCATATCGATACGATCTACATACACGGCAGCTATAACACCCTTCCAAAGAGCAATGTCCTCAATGACCCCAGTAAAACCAACTGCAAGGGAAAAAAGTTCCTTGTGTAAAACGTGTTTGGTTATATCAGCCCCGGCAACAGTTTTTACAGCCACGGCTTCCTTTCCCGAAGGCAACGAACAATTACATGGAGTCTCTACAACAGCTCCATTCACAAAAAGCTTCATAGCTATGGTAGCGCCCTCGTACTCAAAAGGAACCATCCACCCAATAGTATGCTCAAATAAAGAGGCTGAAAGAGGAACGAGTAGCACGCGCCGAGAAGCCAACAGACCCCCTTCTGGGGACCTCATGTAATGCAATCGGCGATGGCAGAGTCGTCTCCACAGGTACGCCATCCACAGACACGGCCCCTAAAAGATCCAAATAACGGTACAATGGTGAGAGCACAAACCGCTCCTTGTTTTCAAAAACTTCCTTTCGCACTATATCCAAAGCAGAAGAGTCAAAAGCTTCCTGAAATGTCCATTGCGGCCTACTTGCCTGAGGCACCACCAACAATTCGGTTGGTCTAGGGTTGGAATCGACTTCATGAATCACCTTTACAACATGGGATGGCGGCACAATTTCCTCCAGCGATCGTGTCGGTCTTTTTCGGCGTTTTGGTTCCCTTTCAGTCATCAGTTTCCTTACGCCTCGCGAAGAAAAATCAATTCCATCTTGCGATAAAAGAGTCTTCCTTAGATGAGATGCAGTAGTATGATTGACCGACTTAAGGAGAGCAGACATGCACCGCAGCTCCTCTGGAGTATAAGGCGGGGGCTCTACCGTTGGTACCTCACAACGGGTGCTATCTAGCAACGCCCTTTGTACAGCTTCGTGTGTCGCAGTTACGCAAAAGAAGTTCTTTTCGGCCGTATCGCGTTCATCCTCGGCCCTATGAAACATACGGACACCGGTGCTTCCTGACTCCACTGGATATAGGTTTCCAGGGTCATGGTAGAACTCAACACACATATCATATCCTCCTCCAACCACAAGAAGCAATTCCTTGTCCGTCTCCCGCACAACAGCAGGCCACCACTCCCCGTCATCGCAGTTAATCCACACAAGAGTCCCTGGCGGATATTTCATCAAACAAGCACCCTAAAAAAAACAAAACAAAAAAAAGCTAACTCCAACTCTGTAGACATGCGTAAATAAGTATGTGTCCGTGCATCAGAAAATTTAAAAAAAGAATAACTAAAGCAAGAATATGCGTATAGACACGGAAATTCAAGAGCCACTCTCACATCCTTTATTTTTTTTTCCTCGTTTATTATTATTATTGTTGTTGTTGTTTTTTGCGTGTGTATGTTTGGGTAAATTTCTTTTTTCCGCTGGAAAAAAAAAGGAATTCGGTGCCTTCCAGGGGGAGATGAACAAAAACATGCGTGTCAAATAACAAACAAAAGAACAAACGGCAAAAAGAAAATTTATTCTAATTATCTAATAAGTAGCACTCCAAAAAAAATACCAAAAAGAAGTGCTGAAAGCGAGAAGGGTTGAGCGATGTGCACCTTTACTTGTGTAAAAGATTAGATCTACTGAGGAGGCACTGGCTGGGTCCCAAATGCACAAAGCCCAAGTCCCGTTTGTATTGACTTTCCTCTTCTGTGTTAAAAGTGTCGTTCCGCCAGTCCCCACTGGCGCCACGAATGGCTGCAAGAGAGTCTAGAGCTTTGGGAAAGCTTGCAAATATCGCATGCAGGGGAAGCTCCCCAGGGTTCTGGGCAAAGACAAGATCAGGATCAACAGTTTCTTGAGCGGCCACACGCTTTGCCGTCAAATGCGCCACTTTTGAGCGGCTTGAGCTCTTGAGGGATGCGTTGCTGGGCACTGATGAGGGCCATTCCACTCGATTTCTCCTCACATAAGCAGACGGGGAAGCATTTGCTTGTCTTGCCGCAGCGTTGGCTGCAGCTGGAACGGGTGAGTCAAGCACAGAGGAAGGGAGTTCCTTTGCACTGGGAGTGCACTTCAACTGCGCTCTGGGATCTACGGAAGAATCTGTAGCAGTTAAAGGTGCATTAGCCGCCCGAGAGAACGACGCGTGCCCCTTCACCGGTGTGGCGCCATAAATCCTCGACGCCGTATTGACATTTTGCGACGTCAGAGTCGCTGTCAGTCCGTTGCGAACATAGGAAGACATCATCTTGGTGCTTTGTTCATACTTCTCCATGTATTGATCGACCGCTAAGGCCGGAGGAGGAGGAAGTAGCATGGACACATCCTCGCCCTTGATGTACTGCCGGAAAAGCAGTTCTTCAACAAGCTGAGGGCTCCAGGTGGCGGTCATTTTCAAAGTTCTGAATTTCCAAACAAACCTACCGACGCTCGGCTGCTAAACACCCCCCCCCCCCCCAAAAAAAAAGGAAGAAAAATCAAATAGAATTAGCAGCAAGACAAAAAAAGTTGTGATATGCCATTGATGGGTAGAAGAAATGCGGTATCGCTCCGTCATTTCAATCAACTAGGGCTCTGAAGGAAAAAAAAAAAGTCCACTTTAAAAAGATAGAAACATAACAATGGTAAAACAAATATCATCAAACCCATTTTTCAGGTGACACTATGCTCCTTGCAAAGAATATATATATATACTGAGAGATAAAAATAAGAAATAAATAATAATATCAATGACAACTAAAAAGAGAGGTCTATATTGTACAAATCGCACAACCTCCATGAATTGTCCGCCCCCTTTTGTCCAAAAGGCCTATCAAATTCCTCGTCGGTCATGGTTTGATACTGTGATGCATTTGCGGATGATGGCCGGTGGTAATACCGCGCCATGGATGACGCGTTGACGTCAAGAAATTCTTCTTCCATTGACTCTACGTCATTCGTTTTCTCTGCCCACCGTGGGTCTAACTTCGCCAACCACGAATACTGATAGTCATACGTCTCACCACGCGAAGTAAGCACATCATTCAGCAACTGCAGACAAAACGAGTAATTCGGAGTTTCCTCAAACTTCAAGGCACGCACATAATCCAAAAGTTTTGCAAACTCTTTGGGGTGCCCATCGGCAAGAGTCTCCGAGGACGTCTTCGCTTTCATATCGCAAATACGCGTATAACGGTAATCATTCGGTTGAGATTTCAGTCCTTGCCATGGCAGACTTCCCCGAAGAAAATAAAAAAGAAGGTACGCTACTGATTCCAAGTCATCCCTGCGACTCTGTTGAATGCCCCGATGAGCGTTGATACTCACGTAGCGAGCCGTGCCAGTAAGCGACTTGTTGTCCTCCCACGGAATGTGTCGCATCGTGAAAGAGTCCCGGTAACGCTTCGACAGGCCCATGTCAATGACATACACAGTTTGCGAATGTCCCCCCACACCCATGACAAAATTTTCAGGTTTGATATCTCGATGAATATAACTCATGGAGTGCATACACTGAATTCTCTGGATGATCTGTATGCCTATCATGCAGACCGTCTTTACCCCAAAATCCCGGCCACAGATGCTAAACAGTTGCTCGAGGTTGGGCCCCAGTAAATCCATCACGATCACATTGTAACCCCCCACCCGACCTCCAAAGTACACCTGAGGGAAGCCCACAGCCACCGCACATTCATTGAATTCGCTGTATATTCGGTACTCTAACATGGCACGGCTGTGCTTCCTTGGCGCCTCAATCTTGACAGCAACATGTGTGCCACTATGGACGTGCACGCCCGTGTATACTTCACCAAAAGAGCCTCCGCCCAACCTTTCAATAAGGCGAAAACGTCCTCCAATCAAAGTTCCGTTAAGAACACTTTTGCCGTCCTCTTTTCTCAGCGACACCTTCGACATAACCCGACGGGAACGCAGCGTTGCTCCCCTCCTCTTCTCTAAAAAAAAAAAAAAATGTATTCGACAATAAACGTGCATACGCAGAAGAAAAAAAAAAAAGTAAAAAAAGAAGAGTAGTGGCATGAGAAGGGAAGAAGAGTTTGAGGGCACGCCCTGAAATGAATGGCACACAAACGCCATGAACACAGAGGGAGACTCTCTTTGGGGGCTTCTGCAGAAAAAGACCAAGTCCCCGCGTACTGAACTAAGCAAACATATCACCAACATAAGCAGGGCAATAATCGGGTAGTCAGAATCTCAACTATAAAAATAGAAGTAAAGCGGCACGCTTCCATTAAAATAGTAATAATAATGACAACGAAAGCGCACGCTGCATCAAGGCCATCCACAACTACTAGTTTTGGTCACTTGGGGCAGACAACCCGGTTGTTGCGTCTGCTTTGATGGCTCGCAAGAGCTGACGCTCCAGCACAAAACGATTTACCTTGTACCGCTCCTTCTCCACGTGAGCAAAATCGTACGTCCAGCCAATATAGCGATCGCAGCAGGAACAAAAGACATCCCGCACAATATGGGCACCCGTTATCAGTTCCTTCTCCTCCTGGGGGCCAAAGTAGTAATTAAAGCAGCGGCTCACCAGATAGGCCTTTCCATGCTTGCCATGAAAGGTGCGGGAGATGACATCGCCGGTATCACAAAGATACGCACTGCATCGTCCACAGCCGTAACCGTCTTTTGCAGTAAAACGCACACGTAGGCGACGCGCCATCAAAGTGCGATCACCAATATTAACCCTATTGATACACACCAAAAAAAAAGACTATATGTATGTATATATATATATGCCTCAAAATAATAATAATAATAATAATGGGATGTAATTGATGGTTGCAAAACACAAAGCCAATACCATTCGCTCAAATCCAACATAGATGGACACGGTCATACATTACACACACAAAAGAAAAAAAAAAAAGATAAAGAAAACGGGACGCATCCAAACCTCACCCTCTTACAGGGCTATGCCATGGCGAATCACCCACACACAGAGAAAGATCACACAAAAAGTCGCGAAGAAAGCTTGGGAGAAACAAGCATACGCGATGGAATTGGCTCTCCATTGAGAAGTGTCGTTTTTAAATCAACGAAGATCTGCGTATACGTCGATTTGTGAGCCCTAGCTTCCAAAAAAGGGATATCTGGCACCTCGTGCATGACACGAACAGGAGTACATTCCGGAAACGACAAAGAAATAATTGAATTGTTAACCTTTATAGCTCCTCGCACTAACCCATAAAATAGTAAAAGGAGGAACTCACCTGATTTTTCTGCTGCGAGCACAACCAAAGGTTCCATTGAATTTTCACTCAGAATGTCAACCACCCCAACTGTTACGTGACACGGAGACGTGACGGATCCATTTAAAATGGCGTTTATCGTTACAGCATCAGGAAATGAAGGCAACTTGGCCAGCAGTGATGCAAAAGGTCGTTTTCCAGTCTGGCGTGAAGTCTTTATCTGCGACTCGGCACGTCGGAGAACAGTGAGGTGATTTTCCAGCATTTGCCTCGTCCCCTTCAAGCGCTTTTGATCCACTTCATACGCAGCAAGGAAGTCACATGCTGCATTACCAAAATGACCCAAAAGACCTTCAATAGCACCTTTGTTAAACCGTACATCGGGATCCTCTGGAGAAATCAGCGCTGCTTGTCGCATAGCCTGCAAAGCCCTTTGCGCCCCAGCAATCTCAACACCGTTTGAAAGGGCCTTTGAAAGTAACGCAATCGAATAACAGTGCCAACCATCTGTACTTGTGGGGCAGGCAGCTGCTGCTGCCTTAGCACATGACACGGACTCATTTAAGTGTCGAAGACGTTCCGCCGGTGTCAGTTTGGAATCGCTGGAAAGACTTCTTAGAAGTCTACTGTACTGACACAAGGCGTCCATATTTTGATCATCTATGCGCAGGGCATTATCCAGGGCATCACACGCTTCTCGAGTCGCCTTGCGGCGTGTAAGGCACTCGCTGAGGAGTACCCACAAGTCGGGTCTGTCATGACAAAGCTTAAGCGCTGCACCGCAGCCCTGCTCTGCCTCCATGGAGTAAGTAGGCAAGAGTGTGAGCGCCTTACACCTCAAGAGGAGAAGCCGGACTTTCTTCTCGGGATCCTTCTCCTCATCTGGATTAGGCATGGACGCAATGAGGCTACCAACGCCTTCCCTCACTTTCTCGTCAAACACCTTGACCTTCTTGAGCTCGTCAAGTCTTCGCTCTAACTCCACAATTGTCGTGTCATCCATTCTCTTAATTCCTTCCTCCTTCCGTTTCCCCACAAAGAAAAACGCAACCTCACCAGAGATTAAACCCATATATATAAAAAAAAGAAGAAAAAAAAAATACAAAGTTAGTCGCTCCACCTCCTCCCCTCACACCCTCCCTTTTTTTATTTTGTGTTCTCCTCTCAACCATTGTTTTAATTTCAAGGTGTGGTTGTGTACGACAACAAGACGCCAATGTCATCATAAAACAAAACAATTTCCTTGCGGCAGCTGTTTGCCACACGCCCAAGACACATCAGGGCGTGGATCTTTAGCGACGACCTCCGCAAGGACCAACACAATGCCGTGCCGTGAGCATCGCCCGGAGAAACGGAAGGATACAGGTGATAGTGGCAAGCATACGTGTCCTCAACAGCAGGGCCGCACAAAGCGGAGCGAAAGAGCGGAACCGACGCAACACCGTCTGTTCCTACAACTCGCAACCGAAATAAACTTTGAGCCTCAGGGTCCACCATCGTCCTATCCTCCTCCCCCTCCTCATCCATACCCACCGTCGTCACACCACAATCATCGCCCACATTCGAAACCCGCCGTCTCTTACGTCTCCTCCGAAGCCAAAACGTTTGTCCCCAACCCTCATCGCAGGCTAAATGCTCTTTCAAAACACGCAATGACCCTCCCATAAGAAATCTATCCCCCTTCCTCGCACTGTACTGCGTGTGCGACAAGAAAAAAAAGAAGAAAAAAACTCAAATGAATATTCATAGCACAAAAGCTTAATTTATACGTGTAAATTTGTAAATAACAGACCAAAAAAAAAAAAAAAAAAACAATTAGAAAAAAATGGCGACACCACACCTCACGTGGGAAAAGACTCTTCCCTCGGCAAAGCTAATATCCCAGTTACTTAAGATATACCTTATCCGTCTCTTCCCTCTATGTTTATTCATCGTATTCCTCGTAATTTTTTCGGGACAAAGACTGAGCAGTGTACATTGCAGCAATCTGCGTAGCAAAGGTTGCCTCATTGGCCTTTTTGTCCTCTCGCACACGCACAAAGCGCGGAAACCGGAGTGCGATCCCCTTCGATGGATCCACAAGTCCGTATGCGGCAAAGTGAACTGGAGAGATAGAAAGGTCTGCTGCCTTCACTTCCCATACATTTGAGGCCTCTAACCAGACATCCGGCTTTTCCTCGGCTCGATAATACCGTGGCTGCTCCATGAGAACGCATGACTGAAGAGCTTGCGTGAGACTTTCCAGCTGCTCGTCCAGAAATCCACTACCAATCTTGCAGATACTTTGAAACTCGTCGCTGTCACTATTGTAACAGGCAAGCAAGAATCCACCAAATACACCCGTCCGCTTTCCTTTACCATAGTAGGCACCAATGGGCACAAGATCGAGCGTATCCGTTACGCCATCCATGTAGTCCTTTTTAAGTTTTAGCCAGCAGTAAGAACGCTTCGCCGGGGTGTACGCCGCCTCTTCCTTTAATGTTTTAACCATAAGTCCTTCACAACCGTCCTTGATTGACCTGTCAAGAAACGACTGGATCTCCTCCACATCTGTGCCATCCAAATGTTCAGCGAACTGAAACGCTGCATGAATAGGGGTAAAATAAGAGTATAATACTTGGCGCCGTTCCAACAGCGGTTTTGTCATTTGTGGCGAGCCATTAAAATACAAAATATCAAAGGCAAACACACACACAGGAATTGTGACACTCTCAAAAGACACGTTTTTCCGTCCTCGATGCTGTAGAACCTGAAATGCCTGCAGAGCTCCCGTCTCTTTATTGACTGCCACCACTTCTGAATCTATAATAAAAGACTCCACCGCCTCCGTTGAAAAAACACGAGGAAGCATGGCGATAATATCTGGGTACTTTCCAGTGTGCGTTTCGGCATTGCGCGAGAAGATCTGATACCCCTTTTCCTTTGAATAGTGAATTTGAGCCCGTTCACCATCATATTTGTACTCCGACGTGAAAGCCTTACCCTGAAACCGCTCCAATATGGCATTTATCCCACTTGTGGGGTGCGCAAGTTGCGGCTTCACTGGAATACCCGGGCGAATAGAAAGTTCCGCTGCGTGGGCCCTCCCTTCCGGGGATGACGGAACAATCACATTAAACCCATGCTTCAGCATGGCCCCAACAACAATTTCAAAACTTGGAACCTCGTGGTATATACGTGCAAAATTGTCCGACCCAATATTTAGCTCTCGTTGTAGCTGTTCAGGTGTGAACTTCACAACCTCCGTTAGTCCGATATGATGCAATGCAAAGGCGTAACCAATTGCTGCGAGCGCAGAGGATTCAGCCAACCCAACACGCATTTTCTGTTGCAAGGCCCGTACGATAAGATTTACCTCCGGTCCAACCGCGTCACGAAGAAGTCTCTTCATCACATCGGCACGTCGTCGAGAGGCCTCCTTCCCGCTCATAAGAGCAATGTCACGCAACGCCTTAAACACGTCAGCTGCCGAAAGACGCTTGGGCTTAACGAGAGTGGATTGTTGACGTTTCTTGTTTTGAGCCACTTCCGCCAAATCACCTGTTTGTCTATATGCATCCTTGATGTAAGCCTCCGTGACACCACAGCACTCTGCAATGACCTTCACCAGCAATGCATCACCCACTCCAAGCTCAATGCCTTCGTGTGCAGGACCCTGCTTATTGATAACGAGGTAAATAACGGAGACCAGGTCCGATGGGCTACGCTGAATTACGGCAAGAAAAAGATTCGTAAGGCATTTAATACACTCTAGTCGGGAGCTCTCGGCACTGATATCGGCCAGCGTGTCGGCAACCGCGGCATACGGCACAATTTCCCTCACACCAGGAAGGGGACGAGGCCACACCGACTCATAGTTCACATAAGGATCAAAAGAGGCTTTCAAAAACACCTTTGCCATGCTGGTCGGCCCGGCAAAAATATCCTCCAACGCCAAATCGTCGACTACGCCCTTGTCGCAGTCGAAATCCTCTCGCGCCCTCTTAAGCCGCACCGAATTCCCTTCCTGAGCTTCAGCCCCCATCACAACAAACCGTTTCGTGCCAAAAATAAAAATAAAGTATCAGCGCGCCCCACCAATAGGGACCTACATGGCACAGCAAACCCACGGGAAAGCCAAACAAAAAAAAGAAAAAAAAAGATCACTTAACGGATATATATTTATAAAGTAGAAGCAACAACAGCCAATACCAAGGTGGAGGCGACAATCCCAAAAACCCATTCTCGCTCCTTCCTTCCTTCCTTCCATCTCCTCCCCCTATTCATCCATCCGTTCCGAGAAGACCAGTGGCACGTCACACGCAAAAATCCACGGCCTGCGACTCAGATGTTGCGATGGTCATTATGTGCGGTGTGTGAAGAGCCACCAAATCCGACGCCTCACAACTGTGTATGCGTCCTGTTTAAAATATAAATAAGAAGGAGAGATAGTCATATCTTTAGATATATCATGGCCCCGTAATAGATGAAGAGGACAAAAATTAAACATTAAAAAAAAAAAAAAAAAACAGGGATTGGAGGGCAATCTTTTTCTTCTATATAAAGATATATATTCCTTTTTTTTTTTTTTTTTGGTCGAGAAAAAAAAGAAAAAAGGCACTAAAGGCACACAATCGTAAATGCACAAATCAAAACAGGTGTTTTTCTCTATGATCATCCCTCCTCCATTCCCCCCCGCCAACCGTACCACCGCGTAAACGGTTAGGGGTAGGGGAACCAACAAATCAAATAAAAAGATGCCATTTTGCTCTTCTTTTCCTTTTCCTCCCCTCTCTCTTTTTCCTTCTCAAATTTCTGTTTTGTCCCCACCCTCCGATTGTGTTATTCTTTTTTTTTTGCTGTTGTTTTTTTTTTTTTTTTTGCCTCCCTCACTTTCGTCAGTTTAAATTGCCTCCTCCCGTCGCCTGATTTACGTCTTTGTTACCGTTTCCTTTGATTAAATGAACAAGACAATTCTACATGCGCATACACACATGGAGATTGCGGGACACCACCCCCAGGCACGCGCAAAAAGTCTGTTTTCCTCGCGTCCCTTTCTTTTCCTGCCGCTTATCTTCACATCTCTCTCGGTTGCCCGCCATCTTTTCGGTTCCCGCGCAGACACAAAATACGCACCACATGACTGTACATGTATGTATTTCTTTGTGTCTCTCTGTGTGTGTGTGTTTGTACGTGAAGAAAGAGCCTACGCAAAGAAGGGAAATAAACGCCACACCAATTGCTTTCTCCCCAATAAATATGTATACGTATATAAATATATATATATATTATTTTTTTTATATTAATGTAAACCCCTTTGCTCTCCCGTTTCCTTGTTGCCTTCGTGTCTCTCCCTCTGCTTGCCGGCCTCGCCCTGCAAGAAGAGATGCCACCGCCTTGATTCCCGCCCCCCACAGTTTTCTTTCGTAGTAAACCACACATACTCACACTCACACAGAGCCCTCCCCCTCTCCTCTTCCCCAAGTCCAGTCCGAGAAAACAGAGAAAAAAAGAAAAAAAAAAAGAGGGGAAAAAAAAGGGGGACCACATTGCTGCTGCTTCACAACATCTGACACGTTGCCTCTTGCTCTCTCTTCTTCGCCCCTCCCTTTCAGTTCGTATTTGTTTTTTGTTTTTGTTTTTGTTTTGTTGTTGTTGTTTTTTATTAATATCCCCGTACTTTTCGTTTTGGTTTTCCTGCACCGCGCGCCTCCGCTCTCTTTTTTTTTCTTGCCGGGAAATTCCTCCACTGTCCGCACATCACGAGGACGACCCATCCGCCCGCCTTCCCCCAAACAGTCGCCCCAACGAGTCACAACCGTGAAGAAAACTAAAAAGAAGGAAAAAAAAAAATCATAAAATTAAAGCATGCAAGTAAAAAAAAAAAATATATTTTTATTGCACACATCTTTCTTTCACCCATGCCCCCATTTATTTCGGCCATTCATTTCCTTCACTCTCCCTTGCCTCCAAACATCCGCTTGTACACAAACGCGCACACGTGCCCATCAATGGATCTTGTATATATATATGATGTATATATATATATACGTACAAGCAGAAGAAGAAGGGGCAGAAGGGACACACACAAACAGTGCCAACAACAATAATAAAAATCTAGAAAAATAGATGGAGGAATTATGTGTGGTAATAATAGAAATTTTTAGTGGGTGAGGGAGGGAGAGGAAGAGGGGGGCTGTGTGCCGCATTTACACTTCATAAGCTCAGTAGTAGGTTTCCCTTACGCCCGTGTTAATATCAAGATTCCTCTGTAACTCCTTCATCCGCTCGTTGGCCTTGTGTAGGCAACCCACATCAAGCGGAACGTCTTTGCATGCGATTGAGTTCAGAACGCACACCGCGAGCTCCCAGAAGTAAAACAATGTGGCAAGATCGTGCCGTAGATAGTTGCACTCCGGGAAGGCCGCTTCAATATCGCTCAGCGTACACTTCTCCTTCATCAGGACATACTCAATCAGCACACCACCGCCAAATTCTACAGGCGTGGAAAAGGGTAAGGCTTGTTGAATAGCACATATTCTATGCAGTGGCACTAAAGTCCTTCCCTGATAAAAGATTATCGCCAGCATCGCTTCCAGAAGATGACGAATCGATCGAGATATCATGCGTGAAATCATGCTGAATGCGGCTAGTTCAGGATCAATTGGGCCACTCCAGGAAGATGAGACATTTAGTGGAATGATGGATAGAATGCGACTAGCGAGAACAATCTCGGGAGGAATATCCCGTGGTATTATTTCCTCCGAGGTCATTCGGAACTGTTCCGTTGTGATCGCGCCCGTGCGAGAAAGCTCGATAAGAAGAACAACATACTCGCTGAGTGTTGGTACGCCGCATAACTTTAGAGCCCGACCAAAAGGAGATGGCTCACTCACTTGAACATCCTCGCCGTCGTCACGGGTCTCATGAGTTAGGTAGCCAAGAAGGTCTAGGGATTGAAGCAGAACGGCTGCACAGGTCTCCTCCGCCGTTTCGTAAATAATATGCCGAGATGAAACTGCCAAGTGCGAAAATTCCATAACATCCACCAGAAAAAGATTTTCAGAAATGGTCTCACCTGCTAAATTCCAAGAATCAAGCCCAATCTCCGGAGGGGCGTGGACTTTACTCACACGAGAGAGAAAGGCGTTGTAGCGGCGAAACCATGTCATCCCAAAATCAGACATACGCAGAGATGCAGCGAGTTGATGGAGTGTTTGAACTCGAAGTGGTAAAACGGTTTCAGCCACATCACGGTACTTGATAGAATCCACAAGTGGCCAGTCATCCACCAAACTCCCCTGACACAATGCACCGAAAAGGCTGGGTGACAAAAGACCAGCTGTAAACATGTAGTACATAACAGGTGGAAGAGGACACCCCATGACCATCTTGGGATCAATCGGTAGTTGCCGACGCGATTCATATAGCCGAGTTAACAAAGTACAGTAAGGGGGAACCAGGGTTAGTACTGGGCACCCCAAAGCAGCGAGGTTACGAAGTACGGCGCTCTTCAGATTTAAAGTGCGGTTGCGAGCTTGTTCAGAGAGATGCATAGCCTCTTGATGGAGCTGATGCACATAAGAAGCACCGAGAGACAAATCATTGACACGTGTAATTTTTTTGCACATATCATCAAAGCTGGAAAACTTCGGTCCAACGGTCCTCATTACTCTGTTTCGGCTGTCAACCACAATCAGGCTTCCCAAATCATCCTCACTTATCCGCAGCAACTCTAAGAGACGGGATTTACGTACCATATCGACAGTCCCCTTCATCACATTTATGTTTGTGATGACCCGATCAATTCCTGGAAAAGCAAGAAGTTCCAGACAACCGTACACCTCCGATATATGGCGGTTTTTAGGGTGACAAAAGGCAGACAACTGAGCCCAAGCAAGGTAGGGCGCTCGCATGGTGTCCTTAAATTCAGATCGAAAAAGCTTCACAATTTGATTTTCTACATCCTCCTCTACAAAGAAACGCGACGATGACTTCTTTTGTATGTCCACCGCTCGCATCGAGTGCATATTACAGAGTCTGGAACTGTCAGTACCGTTAAGGGCGGCTACATCAGGAGGCACCATATTTTTTTCGCGACAATTATCATCAGATGGGTCCGGATAAAACGGAATGCCATTGAACACCAACACAGGAGTGCAATTTTTAAGAGACCGGAGTGTCTTGCAGACATCCGTGATTTTATCATATACCGTAAACGGGGTTGTATAGGTGTAGATGGCCATCTTTTCCTTCTCCCTCACGGCTTGGGTGATGAGGTCAATGATTTTCGTGCCATCCACGCCCAGCATCACCTGACCCGTACCCTCTAGTCGCCGCAGCTCGGTTAGTGGAACACCCTTCTCCTCCAGCTTGTTATCGTTGATGTAACGTTGCAAAAGACTCACATCGTCCTGGCGTGGGTACATTGTTCCGCGGGAGTGCCTCGATCCCTCCAACAAACCAACAAAGAATCAAGAACAAAAAGAAGTAGAAAAAAAAAAAAAAAACTAAAAAAAAAGAAAAAAAGAAAAGAAAAAAAAAAGAAAAAAAAAAAGAAAGAAAGAAAGAAACTTCCGTAAAACCTTTTCTGGCGTCAATATACGGGAAACCCAACAAAGCAACAACAACAAAAAAAAAAAAAATGATGATGAAGCACACAGAGAATAAGAAAAAGAGAGGAAGAAAGAAAACACAGTGCAATAGCAATGAAAACAAATAATAATAATAATAATAATAATAATAATAATAATAATAATAATAATAATAATAATAATAATAATAATAATAATAATAATAAAGAAAAAGAAGAAAAATATAAAAGAAAAAAAAAAGAAGATAAAGCAAAACAATAAACATTTGCAGAGTGTCTGTATCCGCATTGCCCCTTTTCATGAACTAACAGCATCTTCTTGCGTGATGAGCGACAGCATTTCCCTGTAGAAGGGTTGATATAGCTCCCAATTGAAGGCAAGTACATGTTGCAGAAGAGCAGTTAGGCGACTGAGCGAGTCTGTTACGAGGCCCAATGGTGCTGGGTCACTTTGGCCGTGAGCAAGAATTCCCTCAATGAAGGAAAGAACTCGCTTCTCAAACACAACGTAAAGGCTTCCAGTTGTGTTTGTCATCTTTTCCACAATGCCATCCAGTTGGGTGACCTCGCTTTCCGTCAAGGCGGAGAGCGTCTGTCTTTGTGTCAACGCCTCGTTGACCAAACTCGTCACGGAGCACTTCAAGCTGGATAGAGTGAGTTGCTCCGAAAAGAGAAGCCGAAACTTGTCGTGCAATTCTTTCAAAATATCGCTGACAACTCTCGAATCCACCCCCTTGTCACGAAGTACCGTCGCAATACTGCCAGATAAAAGAAGCAGTAAGCTGTTCTCCTGCACCGTGTTGGCGGCAAAAAACACAACCTTCTTTTCAAAGTAAAAACATTCCGTCGGATAATCGTGCCACCGATCATTCACCTGAAGGCCGCCGCTTCGCATTATGTCCAAAAAACCGTACAGCAGGGCCCCTCGAAGTTTCCGTTCCGCCTCAGTCACCGCAGTCGCTGAAATAGCAACGGACGAATTCGCCCAGGCCTTCACACGCTCATCATTCAAGTAGCGTCGAATAAAAGTTAGTGAACTCTCCCACTGATCCACCTTTGGCAAACATTCGGTTATAAATTCCCGAATATACGTAACGGCATTGCCGCGCAGTTGTTGAGATATAAATAACAGTGAATATTGTGCAATGTCCTCATGCAGCTGACGTATAGAAGTAAACATGAGTCGGAATGCATTAGCCACCGCCGTACCGAGGTCTGGGGTGCATGTTTCAAGGTCTTTTCTCATATCTTCTGCGAGTTTAAGGGTCTCCTCCGCCTTGGCTGGGGCACCATATTCCGCAACCTTCCCCATCACGTAGCGCATAAGAGCCGCAATATTTCCTGGACTTCCCATTACAGAACGACGCACAATCCTCCAATCCAGCACATCCCGTATCTCCTGCTCTGCTCGGGAACGAAGTCGTCGCGGAAGGGCGTTTAAAAGCCCCTCAATAATAAGTTTTAAAAACCGAGGAACATTTTGAAGATCAGGAGGATGTTGATTGCATTGCTCCGCAAGAATCGCCAACTGTGCCTCGTTCATGGACGAAATCAACTGCTCTTGTAACGGGTCACTCTTCTGCTCCGGCACGGTGATAACGGTTTCGTATGCCTTGACGGCACGAAATTCAAGACGAAGATACATCTCACGACGCTTGCGAATGGAATCTTCTTGTATTGGTCGGGAACGGCCGTGTTCGTCCACATACCAATCGGGTGGTATCTCTGGCCCCATAATAGTAGGTGGGGGCGCCTCCGTCTCAGAACCGCTCGTGTTTCCCTCAGAAAGCAGTGTTGGTGCAGTGAGCTGTGGTTTTGAGGACTGAAATTTAACGTTCTCTTCCCTCTCTCCCTCCTTCTTTTCTTCTTTCCCCTTCTCTTCTTGAGTTTCTTCCTGCTCTTGCTGTTCTTCTTTCATGGTCGCCTCCATCTCTTCCAGACCCTCCCGTGGCATCAGACGCGACAGGCGGTCACGTAGCATACCAACAAATGCTTGAAGTTCTTCGTTGGAAGGAGTTTTTCGAAGTTCGCGCGCGGCTGCCACGTACGCCTCTTTCGTTCCATTCACGATGACTTCTTGGCAGGCGCGGCGATCGGCACCCCTGAGAGAACGGAGATCTTCTGTAAATTTTTTGTTGTATTCCTGCCACGTGAGCGATGCGGAAGAGAGAAGGGCAGTGGCATATTCTTCATCCACATTCGTCTGCGCTCCAGATACCTTTAACTGTTCCAGCAACTCCACCAACTGTTGGGCACACTCAGAAACAAGCCCGTCCACCTCGTTACTAGGCAATAGAGCGTAGTAGTAGGCAAGAAGAAGTGCTTGCGGATTCATCGTGACGCGGCGCAGACTACGAAGCCGTGACCTTCCATTCAAACTCGCTGATAAATTTGGCGGCCGCACAACAAGTTGTCCTGTTCTGGACCCAATGAGGCGGAGGATTTCCTGCGCTACACGCACCATTCGTCGTCGGTGGGGCTTACCAGTGTCGGGACATGTTCGCAGCTCCGTCATGCCACATGTCTTACAGCACCATTTATCCGTGATAAGAATATGTTCCACCGTCTCTGCCGTCATTGGATGCGTGGAGTTGTACTGCAGACCCATTTCCTCAAGTTGCTTCAGATAATTGGATATTTTTTGCACACATGCCGCCGCGGTGCCAACGGCCTCATGCGTGGAGGGTGCTGCTTCCAACATTTAAAATACACTAAAAAAGTAAATAAAACAAAAAAAAAATACGTAAAGCCTCATAGGACAGAGCCAAAAAAAAAAAAAAAGGAAAAAAAAAAAGAGAATCATAAAAAAGAAAAAAAAAAGAACAAACCAAAAACACACGCCAAAATGAACTGCAACGAATAAACAAAAAAAAAAAAGGAGGGAGAAAAAGAAGAGATAAAATATTGTCAAACATTCCTGCCATAAAGCGGCTGGACGTCCGTAGCACCAAACTCCCTCACAACGTCCTCAAACACATGTGTGATAGTAAATAAATCTATGCAGGTGTAGTTTCAGGATTATATATGTACAGAGTGGGTAAGAAGAAAAAAAAACACATTCAAAAGCCCTGTTGCCTTTAATATTCCTTATTATTATCAATTTTCTCTTATATTTTTGTTGTTGTTTTTTCTTCAGGATCTGCAAGCAAAAAAAAAAAAAACACAAGAAAGGTGAGTGTGGGAAATGAACTGGGACACAATTTGCCCCACCCTCGTCTGTCCACACTTGATGCAACGCCCCGTCCCAACCGTTACGAGGACTTCATAGTAGCAAAGTACGTCAATTGAAATATTAATGAGCGCCGCATCCCCTACAACGGCATCATCGTTCCACTTAAACACCGGGCACGGCTGCTGGTATATTTATATTGCCTCGCTCTTTCTTTTTTTTTTTTTTTTCTTCTTCATGTTATTTTTTATTTGACCCATTAATGATGCTCTCAACTCCTCTGACTCACATGCTCTTTTTCCTCCCTTTTTTTTTCCCTTCTCCTCTCCCCCCCTCCACACACAACTTTTTGTTTCTTTTTTTTTTTTTTTTTTTTTGGGTTTTCTCTTTTTTTCCCTTTTCTGCTTATGATTCAATTGCGGAAAGAGAAGAAGGAGGAGAGAGAAAAAGTTTGTCGCAAGAAGAATTCCTTCGCGCTGCAGAAACTGGGACTCACGACCGCGCCAGCATGACACCCTCGCTCTCAACCATTATGAAACATCTCACACGTTACCCATCGCTCCAACAGACCAGAACCGTGCCACCCCGTCAGCAGACGCAGTGATGACAACGTCCTCGTCAATAATAAGCCCACGCGTGAGATCTTTCCATGCTCGCTGTTTGGTGGCCAATGGGGTTCCAAGCCTTCGCAAATCCCATACAATAAGATCAGATCCACTGCATGCCGCCACGTACTTGTCAGATATAGAAACAGCGGTAATAACCTCTGCCATAGCCCTCTCGTTTACCATACGAAGGCTACTTCGCACATCCCATACTCGAAGCATCTTGTCAAACCCTCCAGTTACAGCCATGGATCCAAAACTGGCCACGGCTGGAACCTTCCTCTGGTGGCGAGTTGTTGTTTCAAGTACACTGCAGCTCACGGGATCGATCAAGGAACAGGCACCATTGCCACCCCCAATAAGCGCATAACCCCGTTGAGTAGAACGCATGGCTTGTGTAGAGACCCCTACGGGAATCAGAGAACTTGTCTGACGATCCGAATGCAACACATAGACGCTAGCAGGTAGTCCTCCAGATAACACGGCGCTTTGAGGATCCTCCGGGTTGGCATACGTCACCGCAAATACATCACCATGAAGTGAGAGCACAGACGTCGCTGAGACCTCCTGACCGGCCAAGGAATAATTAAAAATGGAGCTGGTCCAATCCTCGCAGGCTGTAGCAAAATCATAGGGGGAGGCGAAGGCAACATCCCATACACATGCCTTATGCGGTCGAAACTGAATGAGAGGAAGGCCATCGACATCCAAAATCAAAACGTATCCTCCCGTTGTACCTACAGCGTAGCGTCCTTCCTTAACTTTGCAAAGAGAAATAAACTTTTCATTTGCGCTAAAAATATACTTCGCAAAACGAGTAATACCCTCACCAGTTGCGGTTTCTCGCTCCAACGCAGGATTGGCGCTCTGACTTAACTCCAGAAATGTGTTTTTTTCCAAAGGAACAATGCTTACCTCGTGAGAAATTTTAACGCGCCGTCGTCCTCCCTTGATATCTGGCATCGCATCCACAGCAGGTTGTGCCGCACCCCTCACCACCGAGTTTCCCACTCGACTTTCAAGCAAATCATTGTCAAGGTACACCTCTCCATCATCACAACGCAGAGTACTGCGCAATGTCACGCTCCCTTTAAGTAGGGCCTCAGGGAAGTGTGGATGAGGCTCACACATAAGAAAAACGCGCGCCTTACTGTGAATGGTACCCTCCAATTGAGCCTCCGTGATGCACTCCGCTAATTTCCTCAAGAGAGATATCGACTTTGTTGCCTGCTCAATGTAAATCCAAAGGCCCTTCTGCAGAGACTTTGTAAAGATTTCAGCGGTCTGAGCAAGACTCTGCCGCGTCTTTAGACGAGCAACAGCATTAATATACAGGACCGTGCACGATGCACGTTCGGCGCTGACCCCAATAGCATACCCGGGATTCACCCCTTCGCTCATAATGATGATGCACTTACCAGGTCCAGCCTTTTCCGCGGCGTCTAAAAGCACATCTGTGCTCCTTGGAAATGTTGATACGTCCTCATGGTTGGCTACTCCAATAGAAACCTTCTGCTGGTGGAAGTTGCTATCTTCATCGTCGCCGGAGTTGAGATCAAATTCGTCCGGCTCCTCAGATGCTCCTGGAACAAATAGAAGCAACAATTCGCCTCCCATGTTACGCCTGTTCCTCTGCTCATCATCCGCTCTTCCCACGGGAGCACCATTGATGGAGCTCAAAATCATTCCCCTCATCACTCTCGCCAGCGGCGAAGAGTCCTTGTTTTTGATCGAGATCACCTCGTTATTGGCGCCAAAAAGCACATCCTCCAAGAACTGCCGCGGCGTGGCAGTGACACAAATAGACATTCGCGGAACTACAGGGCCCCCTCTCTTTTTTTTTTTTTCTCTCTTTTCTTTTCCTTCTACCTTTTCCCTTTCGTTCTTCGAACAGGAGGAACCCTTATAAAAAATTCCTCCAAACGGAAATAAGAAGAGGCACGATAAAAAAAAGCATCCAGCAAACAGAAACACAAGAAACAAAAACAAACACGCATTGAAGTTGTCACGCACCAGCAGCATTCGAACCGGCCTCTTTTTTTTCTTCTTCTCAGGGCGGCCCCTTTTCCCTTTCTTGTGTCCCTCGGCCCCGCATCCTCGTCGCCTTCGGCATTCCATTGCCTCCGCATCAACAAAAGCCGGATACCTCTACTCCCCTCTCCGCGCAGATTTGCTGCGCTGGTCCATTCATACACTGAAACGCAGTAAAACGCGTTCGTATTCGGCAGCACAACCAAACGGACGCTGGCCTCACACAAATGCCGCAGTATAAACACTTTACTTTCAAAGACTGATGTAATTGCCTTCTCCTAGAGCCTTACCCGGGCCCTTTGGCCGGAAAAGCATGAGTTGAACGCGGGCCACTTTTCGCAGCAGCAACAGGATGCGGCCCGGGAATGTGTGGTCACCGCATAATGCGCAACAATAGTCCTTCCTGCCTCAAATGCCGCACGTGGGGCACCCTCATTTTGTGTGGAATTCCGCCTCTTACGCCGAGATGGGGTGAAAACGCTGGTTCAGAGACCTACAGTAGTTTGAAGAAGATAAAGGGCGTCTCGCCCGATTCATTCCGACTTGTGTGGATGCGTGTGTGCGAGAGTATCGTTGATGGACGACTGGTCTCCCACGTCCACACGCATAAACAACAAAAATAAATAAATAAAACAGAGCAAAAGAAGCACACACATAAGAGCAGAATGAAAAAAAAAAAGTGAAAGGGACCAAATTTCAAGGCGCACCACCCACCGTATCGAGTCCCTCCAACACTTGACAACACAAAACAACATCACAGGCTCCGGGAGTCAGCTGATTAAAATTGGTGACCTTTCCCATCACCTAACAAAAGTGCTTTCAGTTCACGGCCTTCTTCTTCCCTTAAAAAACTACACACACACACACACAAAAAAAAAAAAAAAGGAAAAAAAAAACGGTATCCAGGAAAGCATCTTAACAACGCCCAGCCACAGCTTCCCATTCCTTCATCACGCCACGCGGTCGCGATACCGTCAAGCAGGATTCCTCTCACTGAACCATTGCCAGCAACTCCGGGCTGGCCTGCAAAAGGCTTTTGAGATGAACCCCACTAGGACCTTGCAAAGCCTGATAAATACGTTCACGGAAGTACAAATCCGGCTGTTTCACAGACTCACACACGTCAATTGGGGCCCGAACAGCTCCCTGCAAAGGGCAAAAGACGTTTGTAAACCCGGAATCACCGGTGTAATGTTTCAAATCCCCAACGGACTGCGTTTTCGGAGTAAAGCTCGTCATATCATCGCTCTCAACAGCACCATGAAGCACCTTAAGACAGCTAACAACACAACTCGCCCAAGTATCCGCGTTACTTTGTAGCTCAGCGCATTCTCCAAGCAAGCTTGCCAATGCCACCACGCATACCTTGCGTTCTAAAGAGCCTGTAATCTTTTGAACATTTGGCAGCCACACGCGCTGAAGTAGCATCCAAAAAAGTCCGTTTTGAATGAGGTTCACTTGCGCCACAACATCATCAGCACCATGGATAGTGACCAAAATCGATAAGAATATAATAAGAATACGCACGTATTTTGGAGTTCGAGAAGTTTGCAGTCGTTGAAATAAAGTCTGGTAGACAGAGCCCATAAATGGGGATATAATTTCTTTTGGGTATGCAATAATAATCGCGGTAAGAACATTCAATCCCTCATGGTCGTAATTTTTGTACTGAAGTAAAGATCGAAATATGATCAGAACCTTTTCTGTAAGCCCCTTGCTGTGCACATAGCGTGGGTAGTGCTCTATAAAGGAGACCAAAAGTCGAACAACTGCAGGAATGTTGCCTTTTTGCTGATACATGTCGGGAATTAAAAGAGGCTCAAGTAATGCTTGATAGTGCGCCGGAGGCTCAAACGAAACTGAGCCACGTGCATCAAGAAGTTGTGCCATAACCTG